CCGTTTCTCTAGGGGTGGTTTGACTCACTTCACCCGACACCTACCCCCAACAGCAGCAGTCTGATACATTAAAAATAACTATACTGAAATGGATAATCTTCATGCTGATGGTCTTGTTGCTTTTGAAGCTCATTAAGAAGCATCGCCCTCAATGTCAGTCTGTTTCATTACCAGCCAAAAACTCCACACAGGACATTCAAGACGAACTGAATGCAGCGAAAAATGATATATCAACATCTGTGTCTTCAGAAATAGCTGCACCAAAGTTCAGAACTGACTTCGAGTGAGGACATCAGTGTTGTGAGGGTCTGAGTAGTTCAAGTTTGGATAGAAATTGGCGCTTTTATGATGAACTCTTTATCTGTGTAAATGTTGGCGTCTCCTGGTACATGTTGCATCTTTACTGGTTTTGTCCTAGGCTTTGGTAAGCAGCCTTTTTTTTTTTTTTTTAAGTAATTTTTTGGTTGATTTTTGCCTTTTATTGATAGTATAGGATGAGATATGGGGAGATAGAGAGAGATGGGGGAGGACATGTAGCACATGGTCGGTGCCGGACTCGAAACCGCAATCGCTGCAGGGACTGTGGTCCCCATACATGGGGCGCGCTAACCCACTTAACAATCTGTGTGCCCACATGTGCTGCGCTTTTTGACAAAAGTTTCATCCCACTCTCTTCTAACAGCTAAAACTTAAGTAGAATGGTAAAAAAAAGACTGTTTTGTATTTAATTCATAGGCTGCATAAAACATTAAAGTCTCAGTGACGCAATTCTTGGTTTCTTTAGATAAACAGTGACTGCTGCCATAGAAAATGCTGACTCAACTTGGCCTTTAGTCAACTTATCCACAGACATCCACTGTCATTGCAGCACGACTTGAAACAGATGTGTTAAAGTAAATACAACTTCTGTATGTTATGACTAAAGTATAAGGACAAGATACTAGTTTTTCTTGCCCTCTGCTGTAAATATTATCCAAACAGGACTTTATTTCTGGTGTCTTTTCTAAAATTCCATGAAAAGATAAAATGATACATGTACAGGAGGACAAGACAAGGCAAAAAAAAGGTATTAGGGGTGGGGGGGTAGAGGTTGGGGAGGAGGAGGAAGAGGGGAATGGAGAAGAGAGGCAGGAGGCCGATCATCCTGTGATAAGACAAGGAATATAAGTCTGATTATCACAGAGGCCGGGAGCATTAGACAGACAGTTGGGAGTCATCTCAAAACTCAGGAGGGAAGAGGCAAGACAAGAGGTCACAATTATGCCCCGCTAGCTGCTCTCCCCTCCTCCTCATGAAGTGCTCTAATATATTCGGTTAGTTCCTGTATGGCGCGGAGGGGAAATTCTAATTAAAGGGTGCGGGGAATTTTGACACATGTGAGGCAGAGATCAATATTTAGCACCATAATCAGCCATTCCTGATGGCTTGACGGTGTCACTGCAAGCGGACTGCAGCTCTCCATTAGAGCGCTCAGGAAGAAGGAGGCAGACGGGCAGGCGAGCAGGCAGGCAGCCAAGCAGGCAGGCTTGCAGCGGAGCGCCAAACTCCCAGCCATCATGAATCAAAGCAAGTGATGCCTCTCGTGCTCCATTCTGCTTTGCTTTTTATCTTCATTCATCCTCTTAAAGGAGAAAAGTGAACTCTGTCAGACTGCTTTGTGATAGGGGTGCAGGGGAAGGGGGAAAGAAAGGGAGAAAAATGCCACGGAGGGGACACACTAGATCAGGAGGAAGTGCAGCTGTCAGGACTTTAGACTGTGAGATGATTGGAAGGTACACAGATGGTCCCGTCTATTGAGCCATTTCTCTTTTTGGTGCCACACATATTTTATTTTCATTTCAAACAGTGTTGGAAGATGCATTTATATACTTAACTTAGGAAACAACGGAGGCAATACAACACTGAGAAAATACACCAAGGAAAAGTCCTGCATGAACATATTCCTTAAATAAATGGACTTGGAAAAATACAAAACATGACTTCTGTGTGTTTTTAACTATTTCCATATTCAGTATTGTCTATATAGAAAAGCACTATGACTGGTGCTTTCAATCATTGCAACTGGTGTGGATAAAATATAGCTGACAATTTTAAAAAGCGTTGGATGGTTTGACCCCCAATTGTATTTTAGTTTTATAATGGTTTAAAAAAAAAAAAAAAAAAACACCCCTACAGTGACTACTATTAAATTTCACTTTGGGGATAAATTAAGTTATTCTTATTTTATAACCTAAGACTGATAAAAGCGTTTAAAGAGTCATTTAGTTAACACAAATTTGGACTGAAAGCATCAAATTGAGAAAATGTATACACCGATTCTAATGAAGTACAATCTAATTGTACTGCACTAAATCAAAAATTGATTTCATGTCATATAAACTAAAACTTAGTTTAACCTACACACTGGTCACCGCCACAAAACAGAGGTGATATATGCAATTTAGCCAGCTGGTGCAAAGTACAGTAATACCACACAAGGATGCAAACATGAACATGACAAGACAACATAGAGCTGTAATAGACAGAATGTGCCCATAGTAGGATATCTTTGCATTTGCAGATCATGGACATGTTATCAGTCTTCAATAGCATAATAGTGTCCTATCGCCTTCATCGCAACTGCTCTGCTGTGAATTCTACTTTTGGAGGATTCTATGTTTTTTTTTTTTTTTTTTGACATGATTAGAGGGGTATAAACTGTCCTTCATATTTTTATTATTTATACCCTAATATACCCCAGTTTTTTCTACTCAGAGTCTGTGCTGTGTTTTCTGTTGTAGCTTTTTTTTTTTTTTTTTTTTTTTCCACCAGGACCTGGGCGGGCACTTTATTTTTGCTGAACTGAATTCCAAAATAACATTCAGTGAAAAAGTTAGTGATTTCTTTCTTTTTTTTTTTATCACAGATGCTGTAGTCATTTTACACACCCAGCCAAGCACACACAGCATCGCATGTGAACAGAGGTGTTCAGCTAACATGAATATGACCAGTGACTCAGTATCAGGAACATGGTGTTGTTTCCACAAGGCAAGGAGGGGGTAAAGGTGGGGGCACTTGGAGGTGTGTGTATGTGTATGTGGGTGTGTGTGTATATGTATATGAGTGGGTAGGTGGGGGTGAGCCCAAACCCAGCCCAGGGTGTCCCCTGTCTCCATGTGTCAGCCCATCTCCTTGTTCTTGCATGTCACTGACACACACGTGGGTACTTACCAACCCAAGTTGCTCCAATTAATGGCTGTCCCACTGCGCTGTCCGTTGTGCGGTGTGCTGGCCCGGGTGACAAGATCTGGTCTGGGATCTGTCTCTCCAGTGACATAAGGAAGGAATTTTAAGAGGGAAAAGTGATGCAAACACACAGCGCCTCACGCTGCGCCCAGATAGGTAGATAACAAAGAGTCTGGTAAATGAGTGGCAGCGAGGAAGGCATTGAGGATTCTCTAATTACTTGCTGCAATCTATCTAAGTCACTGGCCTTCTAATTTGATTTATCAGAATGCATGAAATCCCCTGGAATAATGCCCTTATTAGAAGGACAGAATTGACGGGGGGACGAGAGGTCTGCCGAGAGGAGGAGGAGAGCGCAGATTTAAGCATCAATTACAGTCAAAAGAAGAATTAATAGTTATTAATCCACAAACATGGCGATCGTTCTCTCTGCTACTTCTGCGCCACTTGGAGACAATCCCCTTTACGCTTCCCCACACACACTCACAGACACACACACAACACAAAAGATCCTGAAAAACAGAATGAAAATAAAAAGCTAAAAGTAAATGTATGTGTAAAAGCAAGTCAGCAGTTACAAAGGCAATAAATATCTCTTACTCTGGATGGTTCCTATCATTTTACCCACCGGTAGATCAAACGTCCTTAACTCTTTAACTAAATTCTTGACTGACAAATTCAATTGCTGTCAGTCGCCCAGGGCCCTGAATGTAATATGTGCATTTTGATTCAATTTGCCCTGCAAATACATACATATACATATTGTTTATCTGGTTACAGGCACAAAAAAATCAATACTTATATCTGTGCTTTGTCATCCTTAAGTGCATCATGAAATAGCAAGATATGCCTCTAATTGAATCCAGCTGGAGAACAAGGATTGTTAATTTTGTGCTATTAAGGTTTTGCAACATTTACAATGTCTTCTTTTGGCCTGTTGATGACGCTTGTTTGTCCCTTGTATGAGAAAAGAACATTTTATATTTCAAAAAATTGAATTTGGAAAGGTCAATCACAAAACAAAAAACGATACATCAAACAGGATGTGAACTGTCGTCTTTTTTAAGGAGAGGAATTCAAAGTACGAGGACGGTAGTTACAGTAGAAACAGGAGATGATTTGGGCTGCATGTGAAAACTAGCACATTACGATGATTATTCAGATTTTCTCATTAATTCACATGCTGCAACTGCACTTTTTGTGTCGTCTAACACGCCAAAGAATAACAACAAAAGGACGGCTTGTCATGTCAAATAGTTTAAAGAGCCGTGCAGGCAGCAATGCAGCATCAGGTGACACCCGGCTCTGAGTTTTATGTTAAACCCTGTAGTTTTTGTTAAAGGGTTGCTGAGTGGCTGAAAGGAGAATGCCAGTGTGCTGTTGCCTTGCTGTCACTCACACAGAGGCAGTATTTAGACAGGGAGCTGAGAGGTCTGCTCTGCTGCCAGCTCCTGCCTTTTAAACAGTCCTTTCCTCAGAGAGACAGCTTAGCACTGAGTGCCAGTCAACCTCAGCCATGCACCCCCCTGCTCATACACACACACACACACACACACACACTGACAGACACACACACTTTGATAGCTTTCTTGATAAAGAACAATTTGGCAGAAGTGAAGAAATGATCATATATGGTCAGACCAAAAGGAACAATGTAATGGGTCCATCCCCGTGTTTCAACAAAGTGGAGCGTGAGGCGTCTGGACAGCAGATTCATCAGCATTACTTGAATGGAGGAACAAGCTCATACAGCATTACAGGGCTGACAAGGGAAGATGAATCTAGGCGACCCGGCGCATTGGGGGATCCTCATAGACCTTCAGTCATGGCTCGTGGTAAAGACTGAAGGATGGGAGAGAGGCTGTGGAGATAACACATCACGCCCTGTCTGCGTCCTGTGTTATGATGCTGTCCTGGAGAGCGTCTGGGACAATCCCGTGTCCGCTTGCCAGAGTGCCGTTGACATCAATGACAAACCTCTGTGGTGTCAGGCAGTCACTCACACTTCTGCTGGGTGTCTGTCATCATGCTCAAACGGTCAGGCGCTGACACCTTTTCACGTGAATGAAGATTCTCCAGCGGCTGACAAAAAAATAGTGGATGGCCTTTAAGGAGGGGAAAAAGACACAGCAAGAATAGCACCTCTCCTCAAAAGGAGAGGCTTATAATTTGCAATAATGGCACACCAGTAGCTCTTGGAGAGAAAATTACAGGAAAAAGCCGATCTGAAATATCCTTTTAACTGGCAGAAACACATCCATTGTAGACAGAAGTCTTGTTTACTTGGTAAAATGGCATCAATTAGGAGCGGATGGCAAAATTAGCATATTCTCTTAATGGACTGGCCTTTCTTGTGCGGCGCGCTCGCACTGATTGTATGGAAGGGACATGTTAAGGGAGACTGAGAAAAGGTCAGGTGTCTGCACCATTCAGGTGATCATATTTTTCACCAAACAGTTGTGCATTCTCCATGGCTATTGTCATGTTACACTGCAGCTGAGAGCAACATGCCAGTGTACCGGGATATTTCATCTTAAATCATGGCAGAAAACAAGTCCTTCATCCTGACAGATCCAAGATACTGAAGGAGCAGCCCTTCAAAAATCAGCTGGGTTTACGTTATTCTATATATAATCTAGGTCACAATTCACATCACTAAAACAAACATCTAGATACTTAAATTAACTTAAATTTATGTTAAAATGCTGCAACAGAAATCGTCAAGAAAAGACATCTTAGAAGATATAAAGATCTGTGAATAAAAGTCCTGTTTCTGAAAAGTTGAGTACTACTGGGTAATTTCTTCCCTGATTGATTAACATTTGCACACTGTTGGATTCAACCACAGGCTTTAAAATGTGAGGAAAAAAGTAGCTAGAAATTAGACAAATTAACAGACAATCTAAAGTAGTGTTCAATATCCTGCTCTTACCACCGAGCTAATCAATTTGGATAAATGGCCAGTTTTTTTCCCCCTGTATTAACAGCCAGCCGTCACTTTAGCAGCTAATTAATTCTGAAAATGATATTTCATCATCAGTGCTGCGGTACATTTCTTGAGAAGGGCTCAGCTCCTCCCAGCCAGACCAAAGCCGCAGACTGCAAATTTTCCTCCCCCCTCCTCCCTTGTGCCTCTGCTCCCACCTCCCCAAATTGACTGGTCTTGCACAGTTGCAGCTGAACAAGAAAGGAATTGCTAGTGTCAAGACACAGTTTACAAATATGACATCTCCTCTGCCATGGCTGGAAATATGAAATATTGATTTATGTGCAGTAAAAGGTCTTATAAAAATGATCACATACACATGAGGGATTAATGCGCGGAAGATCAATAGAAATTTCATTCTTGACACTGGACTGTCACCTATGGTGAAATGCTAAAATAAAGAAATCAATATTATCTATGAAATGTCAAATTTATTATAATTATGTGGATGAAAGCTGGCCAAGTGGCTCCCAGGGGGCCTGGAGGGATAGGGTACTGCTCTCCAGCATCCCTCATGTCCCTCCTGCTCGTGCTGCCAATTTTGAGAGCAATATTGGTGTAAAGGGTTTTCACCCGTTATGTATGGCCTTGTTGTAACAAATTCCTCCTGGAATATTTAACTGTGGAGAGACTGACAATGGACAGAGCTGCAGTTCATAGCCTGCAGGTTGCGTAGTTAACAGCTGTTAGCTTTGGCACATATTGTATGACTCTGCCCTCTCGATTGAAACCTATTTGGCAGCTGCTGCTGACACTGACAAGTCACAGGCCGCTAAAGTACAACATCTCAGCAGGCGTCCCCATTCAAAGATGACAGGTTCAGTCAGGCTGCGTATTGATCTCAAGGCTTGAATGTGGACAGTAATCATGCAGATTTGTTTTGTATTTCTGGACATTAGCTGTTTGGAGAAGAAAAGACGGGACATAAATTACAGAAAAGCATAAACAATCATCATTACGGAGGATAAAAACAATTCAAAAATGAGTCAAAGTGCAGCTCGATTTTGATATCTGGATTGGGAAACTTGTTTGTGCTTCCTGTTTTTAAATGATATGAAGCAGCATCAAGGGCTCTTAATGTGTTATTGGGCTTTCTAAAATCCCCCTCAATGTTTTATTTGCTATTGCATTTAAACTAAGAGCTATTTGTGTTCATTCACTTGTTTTCCATGTCTAATTAATATCCTTTGAATGTGTGGGGATCAATTTATTTAATCAATGTTGGGTAGAGCTTCTGGCCTTCTAAAGGTCACTTAGATATGGAATAGGAAATCATCAGAGTCAAATCACAAAGGGGGGAGCAGGTAATTTGAATGTGGAAGGCAAACTTTGCATGTATGATCACTCATACCAGAGAAAAAAAACACACATTTTTTTCCCTCTCCGTCTTCCCTTTTCAGGCAATAGTCCTTTTTTTCCACCAGAGGCCCACTGTACACACTAGAGTGTGGCAGCTGTGTAATCCCTTTAACAACCAACGGGGCTATTAAATGAACCGGCAGTGCAGCTGCAAATAGCCAATAAAGCCAGCACAATATCATCCCTATTAAACAGTAATCTCGGCAGGCTTAAGAAGTTCTCTGAAAAATGGGAGGAAAACCATAACAAAATGTAATCAAGCAAAACATGGGGATTTTCCTCCACAAAATAAGCCAAACAATTTTCACAGTGGCTTACATGAAAGGTGTGGAGCAGCAGCAGCAGCAGCAGCAGCAGCGCCCGCACTCAAAACCTCAGAGAACTTCTCAGCCCCTTCAGGTGACCACGGTTTGCTGCCTTATCACAAGTACACACAACAAATAAAATGAGCCTGTCAATCGAAGCAATTTATCACCACAGATATTAACAGAGAAAGGGGGAAACAGGGGAAAATAACAAATTGTGCTGTTACATTTTAAAAGTGACCAAATCGAATTCATAAGATCACAATTTGAGAGATAGAACCCAGTTTATTTTTTCCTCCCTTTCACCGGCTTATGTGCTCTGTCAGATGAAAGCCGAGCAGAGAGCCGCTGTTGATGGAGCCTTTGAGCCTGGGAGAGGAGGCAAACGCAGCCTCTTGAAGGGGTGCCGGGGACAGCGATAACCGAGGAAGGCCGCGGGAGCTCCCTCTCTGCTGCCGGGGGAAGGTGTTCCAACTTATCAGAGTCCGCACGTGGGGAATGATTACCCCTCTGCCGGGCCGATTACTGCTGCCTCTCCAGGTCAAAAGCAGGCCAGGATGAAAGAGAGAACTGAAGCCTCCTATCCTGCCTCCAATCATCCATTAGCACTCGGAGCGAGGGGCTTGTCTTTTCCTCCACCCCCCTCTCTGACACAAGCTTGTCAGTCTGGTGCATAAGAAGAAGAGAGACATAATCACAGGCGGGACTCTCACTCACACCCATGTCATGGAGGACAGCGCGGGGCCTGCAGTAGTAATTTATGGATCTGAGTATACGCACTTCCTTGACATATTATTTATTCATTTGAGTTTGTTTAAGAAGAATCCTCGTCATCTGCAGGCTGAGGCAAAGTGTTTACACAATTGATGTATGGTATATATGCTGATCCACCCACATGAATAAGAATGTGAAACAGGCAAAAAAGCACATAACAACAGACACATCAAACAAGGGTAACTGATTGCAGCAAAGACACTGACACACTCACAGACCCACACAGACACAGACACCTACACAAACAGCTTGAAGTCTTCTAATCAGGTAAAAAAAAGTGTAAAAAAGGCACTAGTATTCATGTTTTAGTGACCACACTGATGTGCTCTTTATTTATCTTATTTCCTACTATCTAGATCCTGCTTGTGTTGTTCTTGCTCTTAAATATATGTTGTTCAGACAAAGGCGTCTGCTTAATAACACTAACATTATAACATTGAAACAGTACTGTTTCAGATACCTGTACTAGGTTGATTCTAACACTGGCGTTAGTGTAGCCCATGCACTTAAGTGAGCTCATGATGAACGTCCACATCTGTCATCATTAAATGTACATCAGATGAGAGGCGCTCTGCTGACCATGACGTGGGAGCATGTTGTCAGTATAAGCTAAGACATCATGAGAGCAGGTGAGATTTCTAGTGTTACCAAACTAGATTTTTACCTTCTGACTATTATTCACTTACCAACAGCTCTGGCTGTTTCTGATTGGCTGCTGTGCTGTTATTGATGGAATTTAAAAGTTAAAGTCTGCATATGAATGTATCAGGAGCTGCCATTAATAATATGTCTACATAATGCTTCTGTGCTTTTCTTTTACTCTGTGTCTAAAGCTTTTCAACAAACAGCAAAGTAAGCTTCCTGTCGTCTAAAGCTGTTTTGAACGGTTTATAGTTAAAATTAGCCAGAATGTGGTGGTTTAATGCAGGCTGTAAGGTAAGAGTAGATTAAATGTGTGTGGATGACTCTCTTCCTAAATATCATATTATTACTATTATACAGTACCATAATATAATTCCATTCATAAATTTGAAACTGTTGGGAGTGGTTTTCTATGGTCTATACATGTAGTTAAATGAGCATGTGCTTCTGTTTAGAGCAATGAAGAGGGCCATTGAAATATTTGCACCAGGGCCTATCACAGTTAAGTTGCACTATTTTACACTTGTATAAATACTGCATCTGTAGTGTTAATAATGCTATGGCTGGTATACCAGTGCTAATATGGATCATTTTAAAATTCTGGCAACAAGAGTGACACTGATAATACTGGAACCTTTAATAAAATCAGTTCTTGTATAACATTTAATATTGGAAAAGCATTGCATACAGTTACCAATGCTGGCTTTTTTTTTTGTTTTTTTTAATTATCTTTTTTCAATTCTAAGGACTGCAGGAGTGCTTGATCCAGGCTAATACTTGCATGCAGGAAAGGGGTTGTAACCAGGCTAAAAGAAATCTCAGTTGGAACATCTGTTGTATTTTATTCACACTAAAAAAACCTGATCTCCAATAAAAATATATGGAACAGTGTATTCTCTGCTTCATCAGTCTGAAACTGTGCTACTAGGCCAAAGCCAATGAGAAGCTGCATGTAGAGTATCAACATTTAATGCTTCACTCTGTATGCATTCCCCAGCCACCACCATGATATGGACAGACAATGGGCTGGTGCAGCACAGCTGACCAGACTCACCTCTCACTATAACAGCCCAGCCCTTCAGAATAAGGTCAGTGCTTCAGTCAGCTACCTCTCACTCTCCTCTCTTTAATACCAGAAAGGGACAGGGGAAAAACTCTGTGCTGATTGCTGGTGGCATCTCTGATGAACAGAGTGTAAAAATCTGTCTTCCTATGCTTCCATGCACAGGTCAGTGTAGGGGTCTTTACAATACAACAGAGTAATGCCTTGCTCGGAAACCTCAATCGTGCAATTCTACTGACCAATCTGTTTGGGGATATGGAGAGCCGGGCCTCAGGGGAGCAGGTCAGGCTGGTTGCATTTGGGGTGGATGTATATGAAAGCTGTGTTTTTTCTCCCACAGGTGAGACAAGAGAAAGCCTGCAGGTCAGTCCTGAGGAAAGACAAGCATGCACTGCCATTTACAGGCTGCAGTCATACAGACAGAGAGAGAGAGAGAGAGAGAGAGAGAGCAGCCACACACTGACTGAAGTCAAAGAAGACACTTTCTTGAACATTTAGATTTCCTTGACAAAGTCGGAGAAAGTTGCTCTAAAACAATCAAGGTACATATACATCGCATACCAACTTCAACCAATGATTTAGACTGCTTCTGAGGAAGATGGGAGGATAATATAAATGTGGCTATAAAGAGGCTTTAGATCCTGTATGATGAAGCTGATACTGTACCAATGTAAATTCTCATCAGAGGAACTGAAAGGTGCAGATATCTTGACATGGACTCAATCAGGTAAACCCTGGTATTACTGACAGATCATGGTAATGACTTGAACAGCTTTCCAGAGTGACCATCTTCACTTCGTGATGCTTATCTTTAAAGGAAAGAAGGAAATCTTTAAAGCTGAAACCAAAACCTATTAGCAGTAATGTTACCTTGATGTCAAGGACTCTGGTATGACGAGGTTTGATCCATGTTCTGTTTTCAGAAAATACTGGAGCGCTGTCTGGTTGACTGTTCTTCTGCTTGGATAGAACAGGCACGCCAAATGTTGTCTCAAAATTAAATAAGTCTTTGCACTAGCAGAGTTCAAAACTGACCTTGGCCCTCTGAGGGTAAATGGACGAAGACTTTGACTGAAAAAAAGACAAGCCACACCTAGGGCTAGGCGATAAAACGCCAACAATATGTATCGAAAATTACTTTCCCTCAATATCAATATGAAACATGGTCAATATGCTTTTCGATAGTCGCCATGTTTTGGTAGGCTATATGAAAAGCCAATAAAAAGGGGAGTTGCTCCCGAATAAATTAGAACCAAGTAGCAAACAACTGCGTAGTAGCAGGTTGCAGCTGCACGCAACCATAGCACTTTAACACGTAAAGCCGACAGCACTGTCGATGAGAAAAAAAGAAAATGAGTGCTACCCCCAGCAGAAATGCAGATGAAGGCTCAACAGATGATGACATCGTCGACAACACTGGCATGAAAACGTCGGTGGTGTGGATGTATTTTGTTTTTTTGAGGTCGGACATGAAGCCGAGTAATTTGCACTGCAAATTATCTTGAGTACATGTTCTCGCAAAGTCGGGGTATACCTCAAATCTTTTTCACCACCTGAAGCAGTGCCATGCGGCAGAGCACGCACAATGCAAAAGGTTACAAACCCCAAGCGGAGCAAGGAGCCAAAGGCGCCTGTGCAGCCGAAACATTCAGTCCACTTTCTTTAGCACAACGCCTTACAACAAAATGTTGAAGAGACACAAAGACCTCACAGATGCAGTAGCTTATTGTATTGCAAAAGACATGCTACCAATAAGCACAGTTAAATTTCATGTTTTATACATATATCAATATAGACTGATATGAAAAAAATATATTATGATAAACTTTTCCCATATCGCCCAGCCCTACCCACACCCCTGCAATGACAACAAGCTAGTGTAAAATCTTTGTACCTTTGTTCCTTTATTTTTTTGACCACTTCATTAAGAAAATGTCATCAATCGGTTAAAAAAGAAAAAAGTTTTGCCCAAATGTCCTTCCAAACTGTCCGAACCTGGGAATCAAATGTATTAGTAAAACTGTTCAGAGGCCCATTCATCATTTGGTACCATTTAGATGAGGGTGGAAGTCGAACAAGTTAACAAATTTCTCCTCAAACAAAGAGGCTGATCTCACTACATGGACAGACCTGTGGAAACGCTGTTTTCAATGATCCAAAGCATCTTGTCTTGTCCTTTTCACATGCTTCCAATGAATTATGTATCTGCCGTGATTTATGGTACGCCATGCTCAACACTCTTCCTCTCCCTCAACGTAGAATCCCACATAGATTTTTCACAGGGAGCCCACTGGGAAAACCAAAATTGCTCAATTTAAGGAAGTAATTAAAACTGTCCGCAATCAATATTTATCTCTAGACGGACCCTTGTGGGGGTTTAGTGACCATCCCCCCACCATACTGCCCAATGTCTAGCCTTCTGTCCCTCTGCTCTTCTCATTGACAGCTGTTAAGCTCCTTCAAATAAACCAGAAACAAGAGCAAGCTGTTCCCACTCAGGACTAAAGATGACATTTGCCGTGAATAAGCAAATGACCATTTAACATGAGCCAGCACAAAACTCAGCCCAGAAGCTGACTGTGATACAGATCAGTTTGAAGTATTTACAGACAGTTCATCAATATTTTGCATTCAGAGGAATATTCAAATATTCTAAAACAGTCAGTCGATCATTTTCTCACAAACCAACATTCGAACGATCTGGAAGTTTCCAAGAATTAGGCTTAGAGATAATCAGGAGTTGAGGACTCTCCTGTTTTGATTCTCCGCTGTCAGATAATTAGTTTGACATTATCCTCTCACCTGTGCACAAGCGTAAGGACTACATCACTGAAGACTCCCCTAAATGAGTTTTCATCATTTTGAAGGAATCAAAACTTCTACTTTTTTTTCAAAATAGAGAGTTATATTCCTGATAGACAAGGTGAAATAAATGTGACAGAGAATCTCTTCTAGTTTAGTCTGGTCTTAGACCACTTTTCCGTTTTATAAAAGGCAGCATAAAGAAAATAATGTTTAGGTTTTACTGTAGGGAGGTCTTGATTAATGGACACAAACAGTTTTTACTGCTATTTTTGACCTGAACACTCTTAAAAACAAAGGCTTAAATCCAGGACAGCCTCACAAAAATAAACCAAATTACCCAAGATTGAAGGCCATGAAAGAAAAACGGCCATCAAAAAAGAGATCATCTGGATTCCCCAGACTGATAAATCACACTTTAATTCAATAGAGTATTTACTTGCAATCAATTTAGTGAGGTGAAACAGTCATGTAAAACAGAGCAGCGGTGGCATGACAGTTGGGCTGCACAGTCTTCAGAGACCTCTTGCTGCAGGCAGAAATCATGTCTGTGTCATTCTATATCATCAATTTTAATTATCCTCACAAGTGCTCATTCTGCTCCAGGCTGCGGCGGGAAAGGCAGAATCTGGGAGAAATTCCTTTCATCTATTTGGGACGTCAAGTGTGAGGTGCTACCACTGTCTGTCACCCCCTCTGCTCCAGCACCACGCCACCTCACCCCTAAGAACCACACACAAACACTTGATGGGCTCACGCTTGGATGCACATGTACAGTAGGAGGAGAAAACATACATTAAAAAAATACATGTGTGTGTGTGCTTAGTGTATGAAATGAATGATATAGGATCCCTTACAATGGATTCAAAGTTTTCCCTGTTTTCCTCCTGGATGTGCTCTGTTGTGTTGTTGGAGCACCCCTCTAGGTGTCAACCAGTAGGTCAATATAGCAAAGGTCATGCACCATCTTTCCAATCTCCTGCTGTAACTGAACCCCACACACAGTGATCATTATGAGTCCTTCAGTTCCTTCTGTCCTCAATGAGCGGTGGTCCGACTCTGCAGGGGTCTCACTGTGGCCCCTGCTGAGCGAGACCACCTTCTATCTGCAGACTGAAAACAGTCAAGCACAGTCACTGTTTGAGGAGTTTTCCCTAATTGGGGGCGGTAGAGTTAGACGCTCTGTCAGTTGGGGGTGCAGAAACCAGACTGCATCATCATGTTGACCATTGTTGGAGTTTGGATCAGTGCAGTTATACAATGGACTAAGAGCCTATTACTGATCTTGAACAGTAAGGATTATGACAGAATAAAAATATATAGATGTTACTGTTGCTAATAGTAGCTTACATCTATATAAAGAACTCAAACTTCTTAATTCTGGGAAAGGATCTTTGTCAGATCCTTTTTGTTACAAGCTAGTGAGTCAACTTTCAGCTGTTTGTTCTTAAAGACACAGCCTTTTCTGACAGGATTCAAGGTTAAGATGATTGGGGTTTAGAGCAGAGCAATAAAAAAGATCTCAGCAGGGGAATATGACATATTCATGCCAATAACAGAGATACACTTCAGAACAGTTTTCTCTCCATACGATCTGATCAAAAATCCTGTCATGCAGTAGGGCTGCCACAAACGATTATTCTGATAATCGACACGACTATGATTATTTTTGCGATTAATCGATTAAACGTTGGTTATTTGCAGATTATTGAAATAGTTGTTGACCATTTTGATTGTGGAACTTTAATTGATTAATCGAATTATCATGGCAGCCCTATCATGCAGTGAAAATTGTGACAGCCAGCTAGACTGCAGTATTTATGCTTGCATGTAAACTGCAGACCCCAGTGTGCCCCAACTTCCACCAGCAACACAGTGTTTGAGCTGTTCAACTGTTGACAAAAATGTTAGCATGATATAATTCATGATTTCACACAAAGTTGCTACTTACAGCAAGCTGAATTGATAGCAGCTGTGTTTGATGAAGAGCGTTCACGAGTTGATAAACCCACCTGCAACCCTTCTCCAGTTAGCATCATACGTTATACAAGAAAAACACTGATCATGATTTCACTTTGAGACAAAAGTCAGTGGCAACAAGAGATGTACATACTCCACTGAGAGAATTGTAATTTGAAAAAAAAAGAAAAAAAAAAAAGGAAAAAACAGTGAATTTGGCTCAGGTTTGACTTACAGAGCAAAGACAGCATCTTCCAAATACATGTGCTATTAAAATAATGCAAAAGAAAACAATTTATGACTTAATCAGAACTGCAAAGGCACTTCTATCATCTACACCTACAGCTAGCATAACTGCTGCTTCCATTAGGACTAAACATTCAGTATGCTTACTTGATACAGACGCAGAAAGTGAATTATCATTAAGGTGCTGACAGATTTAACATCACTACCATGGTAATATTTAGTTAAAAATACATATTTGTACTGTGGCTGACTTGTCATGCCAGTGTGACTTTTCTATCACAACCTGAAACGATCAAACTCAAAGAGAAACTTCCAACTTTGCTTCTAGTTTGATCTTTTACAGTAAAATGCTGACTGTATTTGCTCGACTGTTCTTGCTACTGGCTATCGTCTTTGAGATTATAATCAGCCTCTGTCTAAATTAATTATCAACTCATGTTTAACAAAGATATAATCATGCTGTGATTTTACTTAGTGGAGAATCAACACCAACTCAACATGAAGAACAGTGGAGAATTAACCCACTGTGGTAATTAACACATGAACTAACAGCATTAATTAGTACTACGCATTAATGGCTAATTAATTAATGAATAAATAGTGCGTCATTATCAATTAATGAAGAGCATACATGATAAAGACTCTGTCTTATATGAGGTAATCATTAATGCATGGATGATCAGATTAACTCATGATTTTTTAAGCGATAACATAGCGTAAATAAATGTGTATAAGTGGGACAGTAATGTAAAGTCCTACTGTTAGTTTTAATTAACAGTAAAACTGTCAGGGGGAAAAATACAGACAAATAAAAAGTTCCCCAAAACGAGAAAATGACTAATTTATTCAATATCAAGACAGAATTTCCAACATGAGAGATTATTTGACCATATTTCAACATAAATTGTTATTTTTGGCACATTTTCTTGATTGTCTATAATTTTATTCTTAGACTAGAAACAATAAAAAGTATAACACATCTATGTTCACGATAATGGAAGAAGTCAACACACGTAGCAAAAGTAGAGAAATGTTGCTGTGTTAGTGATGGCTGCAGATTCATGACTTCACATTAAGCCATGTTAGAATAGCTGTGGTATTTCCTGGCTGTTGTTGTTGCTGTTATTTTCTATACAGTGTCTGAGGCTGTGATTGGAAATCTGTAGGTCCCAGGTATACAATACGGTTAAATCCAAGTGAGGCAAATTGCATGCATTTTTAGGGATCATTAAGTTATTAGCATCACCAGAGGGGGCAGAAAAACACTTGAAATAATCTCTCTACTAATTGCAATCAATGACTCCTTTTCAGAGCAACTTCTGACACCTTCTGGTGTTTACCGTTTTTAAGTTGGCCCTCATGGATCTCAACCTTGCTATAGAAACATCAATGCCATCCCTGAGAAAAGACTTACAGATAAATATTGAAGTTTAGTGTGGGAGCTATTTAAGCACTGCCCTGCATATATCCTCCGCCATAAAGAACAGACAGGAATGACCCATATAAAGACACAATTAATGGAGAATGGGCAGCCTATGATTGGCAACCGCAAGAGAAGACCGAGGAGCTGATAATGAGTTCTGGCGTCAGTGAAAAATTCCTCTCGCTCCAGGGTTGAAAATGAAAGGTACCTCCCCCTCCATAAAAAGAAAGGATAAAAGAAATAAGTTAGAGAAAATCAGCGGGCAGCTTTTATGTTTCACTCTGTCAGCTGAGTGTCAGGGATTTGCTGTCATAAAGATAGTGAAAGCTCAAGAGCTGGTGCTTACCAAGAATTAATCAGTTTAGGGTTTTTGGTCCTGAACATAAAATGTCAGACACTGCCTCTCAACTCTTGTAGGTGATTTCTTTGAGCTGAACAACACAATAATCCCGCTCTCACTTCTACTGAAGGTCAAAGTTGGTCAGTGAGCCAAGAAATACCATATCAGAGCTTCCTTCCTCCTCGATTGCCTCGAGTATAAATTACGGAATTAGTGTATTGATTGCCGACGATGGCTTCCAGCAATCACTTTTACAGCCATGACAAGATTATTTTATCCTACTTTTCCTGTATTATTATATATTGTGTTTGAGTTATTCCACCAGCATGGGAAGTGACAGCTTGAATTTATTCAATAAAGCGAGGCAGTTAGGGGAGTCAGTGAGGCAAAAAAAAAGAAAAAAAAAAAGAGAAAGCATGGCATGAAAGAGTAGAGACAGCGTTTTCCTGCCTGTGAGCCTGACATCCTAAATAAAGAAAGATATCTGCCCAAATAGAGCGCTGATCAATACATTCATACAAACACGAGCGTGTCGTTTGTTAAGTCGAGGGTGATAACCTCACAGTGATGCACATGGGAAACGGCGGGAGTGAGGAATAAAAAAGACATCATAAATAACACATAATGGAGTTTATGATGATTTGTAACACGGCGTCTAAAAAGAAAAATGCTTTGTTGTGCCCTCATATTTGAGATACTTGACATCAACATGGACAAAAGTGATATAACTCCACAAATTAATCCCAAAAAATCTGATATACTTTAATCGAGGAATGTTTGATGATTAATTCAAGCATGGACCTTCTTTTTTTTCTCTATTAAGGTGAGAAAAAATTTGAGCCTCATTATAAGTTCAATACTTGTCATGATAGTGGCCACATTCTCAGAAGTAGAGCTGCGGTTGTATCAGGATACAATAAAATTCAGAGCTCAACTCCTGGTTTGTGCTTACAAAGTAAAGGTGCATGCTAAAAACAGACTTCCTACTAAAAACACACTGATGTAAAGACGAAGAAAAAGCTGCATCAAGCACTATGTCATAAACAACAAATAACAAGGTAAAGTGCCAGAGTCAAAGTGCTGTAGCACTAGTGGATAATAGTCTAAGGTGGATATACTGCAGCTTGCTGAGTCATTAGATTGCATAGTCCACATAAATTCCTGTAGCCCAGTTGTGATTAGTTATTGCTGTGTAGAAAAGGATGTAGGCGGGAGTAGTGAGAGAGTAATGTGGCTGTTCATTCTGTATAGCCATGAAACATGTAAAATTAAGAGCAGAGCAGAGCAGTAAGCTGACACTAAATATGACTATGAAAGTGCTTAATCATGTTTACAGTACTTCAAGGCAAGCATGCACTGACACATGCAGGCACACAGACACAGTGTGCGAAAGAGCGTTTTCTTTCAGATCAATTAAAGGCACACAGAGAGATTGAAAAAGAAAGAAAAGAAACATTCGTTTACGTGTAATTGGAAAAAAAAACATCAGAATTTTGCCTTGACTAAAGATGATAATCTGGCTGACAGAGGGTTTCTTCTCTGTAGTGTTGCAGCTGCAGGTTAAAGAAAAAAGTAATAACACCTGTGAGCTGTGATTGATGTTCCTCCCTGTTTATAATCCAATTTGTATTGGTTTTTACTCTTTCCCAAGGCACTTAAAAATTATATCAGATAAAGAGCATAAAAGCTGGTGAGAAATGAGACAAAGTGCATGATCAAAGGGGAAGAAGGCAACTTTGAATCCTGGATTTGATGCCTTGTAAATTTTGCAAACACATGTTTTTGGAATATTTGTGGATGGGACATCTTAAGATATATTTCTGAACATTTTTATGTCACAAATAAGGAGATGGATTATCGAGAATCTGATTTTGAGTGGCTCTGTTCTTCTGCTATTGTTTTAACTTATAGCAATGTAAAGAAACCAATTTGTGGAAAAAGCACAACACCCCACAGTCTACACATGACAGCCAAGCATCTCCAGTCTGTATTGCATCAAAATGACAGGACCCAACACAAGTAATCTGACACATCTTGATCACGGCACAGTCCTGATCTTTCTGTCACACTGAGGATTAAAACAGAAACACTGGGCTAACAAGGGTCAGATATGAAATTTCAAGGAAGTGACACATGACAGGACAAACAATTAAGTGTCAGTGTGCTGACCTTGGGGCAACAGTTTTACACCATGACCCTCCGTGCATTAGTCATTTCAGCAGCAGCACGAAAGGAAGGGAGGGGGAAAAAAGAGCAGCCTGGGTGCTCTTGTTCATTCGATGCTTCCAGCCCAGTGTTGTTCATTGTTTAGTCGTTATGATTTAAAGATGTACAGCACTATGGAAATCCGAGTGAGTGTGATTTGTCTTTGTCGGGTCAGCCTCCTACAGTATTCTGTGTGAGTGGTAGAGGTGCAGCTTAACTTAGTGGTGCTCTTCACTACATGAGCGCAGATACATACGCGCATCTTAATAGACCATACAAATGAAGATCTGCGCTCCTTCTTCCTTTTTTTGTGTATTTTGCCATTATAATAACAGTCCCGTCATACACAGAGCCTCTATCAATCTTTGGACTTTTCTGTACGTCAGAAATCAAGGATGTAATTACTCATGCAGAAAGCACAACATGAAGGAGAAAAATCCACGTTCTGCTGAGTATCGCTTTTAGAGGAGGCAACAAAACAAGCAAGGGTGGCGCTGTAATCAGTCAAAGCCTGAAGACTGTTCATTCTTCAGGTGGTGAAGACTGCATACTGCATTTTCACCTCAGAGGTATCAGTGTCCCTTTTTAGTCTACACTAAGTACAGAACAACAGCTTGACCTTTATACCATGCAACCCCTTTTAACAAAAGTTTCACCACATTTTTTCTCTTTCTTTTAAGAGAAATTATTCACGTTTTGAAGCTAAAATTGGCATTAAGTAAATTACGTCGATAAGAAATTAAAAATCTAAAATTAGCGCAACATTGAGTGTAAGTTTAGGTAGACTGGTTGGAGGTGTTAACCTGTATTTCAGTTAGGAGTGGGAGAAAATAACGATACAGCATAGTATCACGATATTTCTTCTGGTGATATATCATATTGTCTCATTGACCAAGTATCAATTTTTTTCAAATTAATTGCTAATATGAAGTCAAATCTATGATAATGGAAAAAAAGAAAATCAACTGTTAGTCCAGTGAGATTGGCAGAGGTGACATCATAGAGCAGGAGAAAGTAAGTACAACAAATATATAAGAGGTTTGCAATATGTGCAACATAAAAATAAAATACAGTGTAAATAAGACAAACATAAAAGGAAAGACAAATGCTAATTCAACTGAACAATTGAAAAAATAGTATAATATATATTGTATTGCAATACTCGCTGTATTGCAGAAAGTTAAAAATCATATTGTGGCCCAAGTACCGTGATAATATCATATCATGGGTCCACTAGTGGTTCCCACACCTAATTCCAATATGCATAAACATGAAAACTTTAGATTTTTTAAGCAGTTCGTGCTTTATATTCCACCTGTGGAACAACTTTTAGAAACATTAACACCCTTACCTATGATAATCTCAAACTCTACAACTCACTGATGACCCGTACGGAATATTTATGGCATGGAAAGAAAAATCAGCTAATTAATGACTAATTTCTAAATGTGTTCTTTAATCATCGTAGACATTGGCCAGCATGGTCTCATTTCACCGTGACAGCTGGTGATGCTTTCCTGTGATTCACGGTAATCCACTTTTTATTATGAAGGAAAAACTGGTATTTTTTTATACAGCAGGGAATGAATAAATATTGTACGTGGTGGGGACATATGGTCTAAACAGAACACAACAGAAAAGAGAGGCCAAATTTCAGACACACAATTCAGCACTAAAGACATCTTATTGAACTTTATTTCAATAATCAGACTGTTTTGGTTTTTTATTATTGAGATAGAAACAAAACAGTCTGGCTAAAATTCAAGTCTTTAAAAACTATATTTAAATACAGACAGTTGCAGGATTTCTGCTGGCAGAACACAGCCAGCAAATGTGACACAAGTTTGGATATCACAGAAACGTGATGTGCACAATCTGTACGAGACAAGTTTCATTATAAAGCACCTTTAAGAAGACAGCAGTCAATCAAAGTGCTGTACATAGGATAAATAAAAGAAGTGAATAAATAGATATATTACAATAAAACAATAAAGTTAAAAACAGTGGAAACAAAATACAGACAGTAAAAGAATAAATTGATTTGTGTGTGCTCATTTATGAAACGCAAGGGAGAAAACGTGGGTCTTTAAGGACGATTCCTTAAGTCTCTAAAAGTACAAGCACAAAAGCACTGATTTTAGTGTAAACATTGTTGTTTTTGTCCTCTCATACAGTGTCATTTAAGTTGTGTGTGTTGTTTCAAGTTTGATTAAAATTTGGGTCCATAAATGACGTCCTCATGTCAGTTTGTGCGCTCCTTCTGCAACACAAGCCTCCCCCCTGTGGGACGATAAAGATAACCTGAACCTGAACCAGTAAACTTCCTCAGTAGTAAATACCGTCTGTTTGCATTAAAACAGCAAAGATATACAGTGGAATGCTCCATATATTAACTTTTCATGTAATAAGTTAACACAACAATGATTAAGTGTTCGCACTTTGTCTCCTACTGCAGTTTACCTGCTTTGATAATGCATACTATTATGTAAATGAACACACAGCATGACCCAAATCTGCTCCCTGTAAATGAATGTATTTTACCTTTAAGATAAGATGTTGTATTTCCACGAGATGTTTGTGTAATATGTTAACAAGAATGCATAGCGCAGATTTGGTGGCTAAAAAGTGGCATAAATTACTTGAAGATGAAGCTGCTGAGAAATTCTCTGACTAAGTGATTTCCATAAACACTATTTATATTTGTCTATTAGAAATAATAGGGTTTTAAAGGTGTAAGTGTCATTGCTCATCTGTGGTTTTGATACTGAAGCTGCAAACCCGTTGATAAGTCTTTTAGTTTACAGTGAAGTTTTTGGTTCTTGGCTCGCAGGTACAAACCCACAACCCACAAATCTTCTGCTATCTTTAATTTTTAGTCAGGTACAGTCCCTTCTCTGGCTTCAGGTCTGTGTGCAAACCGTTTTTCCCTGAAAAATATCAGTCTGACTGAAAACCATGTTGCCTGGGTATTAAGTGCTAATTTTGCAACAGAAATAAGCTTTTTCTTCAGTTTAATCTTGGGGGTAGCACCTACTAAGAGCAAATACACACACAGACAAAACAGAGAAATCCAGACAAATGTAAACCTGAATCAAAACCATACAACCAAAGAATACCCGGCTTTGCGAATGAAAACAAACAACACAAACAAACAAACAAGCACACACACAAGTTTAAGAAGCAGATAAGTGGGGTTATGACCGCTACAATATGAAGCAGGGAGGTTGACTGGATGGAAAACGGGGGGCTGGGGACACCTTTTTTAAACTACTTCTCCTGCAAACAGCATTATCTTGATTAAAGTTTAATTAAGGATCACATTTGGCTGTGCCTTTCATAGCGATCTACATGAGCAGATTTCCTGGGGCTTAACTCTATCGCTGGGAAAATCCTCCTTTATTACTTTCAACCTGTTGTAAAAGCTGTTGGCACGGAGGGACGGCTGCCTCATTCACTGGCCTTGTTTGCTGCTGGAAAAATCCCGAGTCTCAGGAGATCTCCCCACAGTGGTTCAATTTAATATCTGTCCTATCACTACAAGGCTTGGGCTCATTATTAATGATACTATTCATTAATTTCTTGTTGGGCTGATGTTATTTATTAAAATATTAAAGAAAGCTCCTGAGACACTCGCACGTAATGAGGGATGTGTCCTCCTTCCACAAACCCCCCCTCCTCCTCTACTCCCTCTCTCCAACCCCCCTCTGGTGGATGGATGGTGGGTGGAATTACCCCACTCGGACGCTGCTAGCCTGCGCACCCTCATTAGTCGTTCTCCAGGGCTGAGTGACACCATAAATCCATTCTACACATCCACCACCAGCAGCCATACACAAACGCACGCGGCTTGCCTCAGCCCGTTAATGAGCCATTCCCATGCACGGGGAATTGACTAGTGTCCATCCAACATAACTGGACAGTATTTTTTGGGAGCGCTAAATTGCAGCATTGGTGAAGATTTAGGGCTTCGGGAAGCATTTTCACTTCTAATTAATAAGCTATCATGTTATAAACTTGAGATTGAGCTGATTGGATATGTCTGCAGTGGTAAAGAGAGGGGCGCTGACTGTTAAAACAGAATTACTACAATACTTGAAGACATAAAAATGGCTTTTTTGTTATTTTATGACAGAAAACTTTAAAATTAGTGTCTTTAAAGTTATTCTTCACTATAAGCTAAAAATACACTGTAATACTGGGTAAAACAGCAGGACTAGTGAAGTTCTATGTCAACATATACATTAAACCTTCTGATAAAGACATTAATCAGATTTCTGTAAGGTGCTTAAACTGCTCCGTTACCTCAAGTGTGTGTACGCTGCCTCTTTCAAACCCTCTAATATTAATAGTTATACACAGAAACCAGGGAATCCATTAATCATAATAATTAATCTGATCCAATTATATTGCAAAGAATATAACAAATTGCAGGGGAAAATAATGATATATCACTGCCATGTCAGAGGGATATAGACTAAAGCAGTAATTAGACAGAGGGATTTTAAGGACTACACAGCAAGCCAGCAGCTGATGGCTCCACTGTTTGAGTCTGATGATGTAATTAGATGAAGAAGTTGAACAGTGTGTTTCTGCTGGTTCAACTAATGAAGCTCGAGGTTTTAGATTCAAGATGTAGTATGTATTGAGGTTTCTATGGCAGCAAGTGCAGCAAAAATAAAAATAAAAATACTATTGTTGTTTGGTGAGATGTAGGCTGTGCAGTTGACATCATTCCTGCACTGACAGTTAATGCATGTTTAAGAGAGATCAGGATGGTAATATACAGTGGTATGAGTGGAGTGTTTGTGATAAAAATGATCCAAGATTCCTCATACTTTGATGTCCGCGTCACAAAGACATGAGGCGTTTATCGCTGCTCTTTAAAGTGTTTGCACAACAAGACCTCAATGCAGCTCTGAAACATACAAAGACGCATTTATTTCCAGACTAGCTCGATACAATTAAAAGGTATAAAAACATCTCAGTACAAAATAATTTCTTCACCACTTAGTTGGTTCTAATACAGGACAATAAACTTGGATATGGAAATGCAAAGACAGGAAAAGTAGAAAGTAAAGTGAGTTTTCTCGGCACAAAGCCACAGGAATCGTCCTCCCTGTTGTGGAATTGTTGGCTCCTCATGAGTACAGAATTAATCACCTGCCTGCCTTCCTGGTCTCTGTGCTAGGACCCGAGGACAGAGGTAATAAGACAAGCCCTTCAGGGACGCACCGCCGAGTATAAATATCAGCTGCTGTGCATATGTAAATCACTCCCAGATTTATTTATTTTTTAATTTCTCCTCAAAGGCTCAAGTGTGCTAATATCAAATAGCGAGCTTTTAGGGAGTGTTTAATGGCTGTTGGTGGGTGGTAGGGAGCGGCGGACTCTGGAGCGTGCGCCCGTTCATGAGTAATTAAGGGGTGTTTTGCCGAGCATAAATAATGCTGTTTGTATTGGCCCTGCGCAGGAGTGGAGAGAGAGAGAAGAGAGGAAGAGGCTAGGGTGGGGGGTGGAGGTGAGATGGTGGGTGGTGGTGGTAAGGGGGGTGGGTGGGTATGGACAGACAGGAACAGCAGGGGTTAACCCCTCAACACACACCTCTCTGCAGCACTGGGCGCCTCTTAATGCGACATGCACAGGGAGGTTCATTTGTTCTATACCACTCAGCATTACTTAAAGAAAATTATTGTTCATGAGGATCGCTGTGACGTGGGGAGAATTACAGTGTTTCTTTTTCACTAACCTCCCTAATCGTTCTCTGATAAAAATAAATGTCATAACACGGGAGAGAGCGGCGCAGCAGAAAGATCTCAAACACTTAGACTTACATAGTTGTTGTGCTAATCTACAAAGACAGCAACACATAATATTCACTATATAATAGCACAAATAAGAAGAAAGGAGAAGGGGGTCTTGTGCTTCTGTTGTTTAGCCAAGTTGTTTTCAAACTCCAGACGGATGCACCTAAATTTTTAACTGTACTACAAATTTAGAAAGAGTACATTTTGAGGCTTGACTTTTTTAAGGAACAAAGCTAAATATGATGTTTCCCTTGATTTCTAAAATGCTGCAGATATACAACAATATCTTTGATTTGTGCCGATTATTTTCAACCCAAATGTTCTTTTTTGCTGTATGGTTATTGCTGCTGTTGTGACATTTTTGTTGCTTTGACCTGCTTTTAATTTTCTTACTTCAATTCTATCGATAAACTTTAGAGTGTTCGACCTCCATGTTATTTTTTCTGTGCGTATTTCCTCCAAACACCTACAACACCATGTTAACTTTGCGGTATTATCAAGTGGCTATGGTAGCAAATTCTCCATAAGGAAAAAAAAAAGGAAGAAATCTGAACAGTGTGTACTCTAAGTCATGTCAGAGCAGGTGATTTTCACTGGCTTGGGAAATAGAGTTATTTCCTCACACATTAGTAGAAGAGTTGACAGGCCATAGAATGTACTGCACTTGAGCGCACTAATGGTCAGTGAGTACCCCCACCTCCCTCCCTCTCCTCCTCCTCCACCACCTCCCCTCCTCCTCCTCCCCAACACCACCGCCATCGCAGACACCAAAGGAGTCAGAGCCATTTATAGATCCTTTCTTTCTTGTCTCTTCTCGCCAACATGTTCACCTTCACTTTAAAGTGCTCAGGTATGTGCGGCTAGATATCGCTCCGAGTGCTGATATATTCCCACCAAAAAAGCATCGGGTGGGTTACATTCAAAAGCTTAAATTTGGTCAAATTGTAAAGTCACATAAATAAACATCACCATGCATGTAAAATATGCCTCATTTTAAAATAAAACAATTAACACAGAGAGTGCAGTAAATTGGTCTTGAGAGGAAAATCAAAGCTCCACAGTAAGTAAGTGATACTAAACGGTGCCTTACTTTATGAACCTCAGTCCAATATTGCCTCCAACAAAGAGGGAATATACACCACCTCCTCCTCCTCCTCCTCCTCCTCCTTCTCCTCACAGTTTAAGTTGCCACAAAGGACTGCGCTCCTGAAGAGAAACACACTCACAATATAGGCTTACAAGTTCCTCTGGGTACAATTATACAGTACCTCTGCAGTAACAAGTGGCTAAGGTAAAGGGGGTGGGGGGTGGGGGACAACCTCTTGAGTGAAACAATTTAGCTGTCATGACTGTGTGGCAGGACCCGGTCCTGTTTGGGAAGCAGGCTGATCCCCAGAGTCAGAAGATAATCGTGTCCAGGCCGGAGGACCAATAAATCAATCTGGTTTAACCGCAGCCGTCCACGGACCTCTGTTTATCAACAAAAAGAGGAACAGACTGAGGAGTGGTATCTGGTTATCTTTAATCATGTGATATCCAGGTAATCAACAGGACAAGAATGGAGGTTTCTATTTTCCTGCTAATTAGAGATACTACTTTTGTCATTGCTGAAAATAAAGGATGAACAATACAGTCAAGAGAATGGAAGTTTATCCCAGTACCAACTCCGTGAACAAGCACACCAAAGCCTTTGTTTATTCATTAGACTTTTAATAAGCGGAGGTATCAGAGCACACACACGCTGGGATTGTTTGTGACTCACCAGGAGCTACTGTAAAGCTAACAGGGCCTGGCAGCACCTGTGGCCCCCACGTTCCAGCTGCCAGCGCTGTGCTGCGGGGCCCAGGAGAGCCACATTAGCAGCGAGGGTTGCAGCGAGTGGAGCTCCGCTATAGCGCCGGTCATGCTGTGGAAATGTCAGCAGCGAAACCAGCCAGGTCCACCGAGCCCTGAGCCCGGCTCTGGCGCCCAGCGTGACTCTGACATGATCATGGACGGCGGTTGTGACACATGTAAGCAATGACTCCACACAGCTATCTGATCAGCATTACGCCTCTGTCAGAAGGCTCTGACTACAGGAGCGTGATGAGAGCTGTGATAGGGCTCCCTGGCTCATGTGGGTCAGAGATGGAGGAGGCTGCTGCACCTCCCTGAAAGGACTCCCTCAGACACTCTACTTTTTTATCACCAAAAATGTTTCATCCATCTAAAAAGCCAAAAAAAATCTTTTCCATTCATCAATGTATGTGTTTCTCACTTGATGTATTTATTTTTAATGAACACACAAGTAGGATTTTAAACACACCAGGAGCAAAAACAAGCATTATTTGTCATAAGCCGTGTGTGTGCATCAACCATCAATCATTGCCATCACAATTGCCACAGTCTGCTGTCAGCGCCTATTACTGCTGAATTCATTTCCCTCAATTAATTCAAAATCTAACCCCTTGGCAACCACCAATGTATGTTTTTTTCTTTATCCATCCACCCACCTATTTGTCAAAATGGACTCAGTGACAGTGCAGTGATGCATTCATTATAAAAAGGAGAAACAATAGTGCACACATACCATTAATTAACTCAGCATTTAGGAAAGACAAATATACAGCCAGAGTATCTCTGCCTGTACTCACATCAATATTTTTAACATACATAGACAACTATATAGGCTCAAATATTAATGTATTAAAGTCTCTTCAAAAAGAGTAAAACTGAGGTCTTTCCTGACTGTGTTTGTCTGTCACTGAACATTTTCTACGGTAAAAGTCTCGACCTGAAAGCCACACATGTGATCACATCAGTTAAAAAAGGAAAGACAAAGAAATGTCATCAGTGTAATACCATCTGATCTCTATATTATCCAAACACATGGACATGAATATAAAGAGCAAAACACAAAGAGGACATAATTAATTAATAAACAGCATAAAGCGTAACTCTCCTTATCACAGAGTCTACTGTATCCTATTAAATAACAGTTTTGTCTTAGGGAGGACTTGAAGACTTTTATCTCCAAAATGAAGTGTTTAAATTAATTAAGTGTGAACAAGATTTCACTTCAGGATGTTATTTGAAAGTAAAATTGCCCATAGGGATTAAAATGAACTCTGTGGGCCTCACTGTCACCCCACTGAGCTCCCCATGTTTGGAAAATGTCCAGTTTTAAAGATTAATTTGAATCTTTGAGGAGAAAGTCTCAATCTCAATCTTAAAGGATGTCAGAAGAGAAGGAAAAAAAAAAGTCTTTCTTATAATCAGATGCCTCTTGACTGAAATGTTCAGCGTACAGAATCTATATAAGATTTTTCTCTGTGCATGATTCCAATCGCGTTAGCTGCCGTGTAGGGAGCGTTTCAGTGTGCATATTAATTACACCAGGGCTTTGTCATGAGCAGGTCAAAGCAGACATGCTAGCCAGGCTGGGTCATTTAAACCGAGAGTGCAGCTTAGTGAGCCTGCTGTGCACATCACGGTCTCAGTCAGAAGTTAAAGCCCTGCAGAGAGAGGTTGTTGGTGTGATTACCAGCTCAGTAATAAACACTAATTTCTCACCAGCACCTGCAGAACTCATGCGCCTAAGCAGCTCTCAACGGGATTAAAACACGCCTGTTAGACTGTGTTTATTACAGATTAAGACGCCAGGACCTCTTATTATACAAACGTATAATTCTTTAATTTTATAAAGAGAATAGTAAAACACAGCTAAAGAATAGAAATGTTTGAAAATGATGCTCATAAAACCTGCCATGGTATTATGTAGGTGAATAAATTGCACTTTTTTTAACCTATTTTGGACAAGATCTCTCCGTGGTTAAAATCAAGTATTTTCTTTTCCTTTTTTGTGAATTTTCATCCCGTGCAGTCTCGGCTACAAGTGTGAGCTGATGTGAGCTCATGTGACATTTGGGAGGAGGGACGGGCATAAGTCGAGACTGGTTAGCAGTACAGCAGTGACTCAGCCTGCTGATGTGTGGGATGTTTCTCACTTTTCTTCAAATAGCTCCTAACAACTCCCAGAGCTGAGGAAAAGAGATTCTCTCCCCTCCTGGCTCATTTATTTTAAATTTCTCATGATTTATACTTTGTTAAGATGGTGTGAGGAAATCTCACGTGTTATATTCTCCAAAAACTTTTCAAAGTAAACTTATAAAAATAACTAAAACCGTTTATTTTGAAATGTATTTTCATCATATGAGCCTGTTTATTTCCTTTTGCCGTCTGTATCTAATTGTGCAGAAAAAAGGACTGTTTACTGAGATTTAATACTATTGTTTGAGGTCTAATAACTAAAGCCTGAACATTTTTGCACAAATGATTTTTCCGGTGATATTTTCATCAGAAAGCTGCACCTGCAGCAACTCTGCGTCCTTGAAATAATTACACTTGTTCCGTCCTGCAGGTCATAATTCATCCTCATTGTCCTGAACTTTCCTGTATGAAATAAAAAATCTCAATACACACATGCAAATGCCCATAAAGCATTTGTTGTTGTTCAGTGGGAAGCATGAATTAGGCCCCACTCAGTATACAGAAGTGATATCCAAATCCGCGGATGTGTCCTTTTGAGGCTCACCTAACAAGTTTGGCCGTTTCTGATTAGCTCAGCAGAAAGTGTGATAGTTTACCTTGATAAATTAGAGGAGGCAAGATTTAATGAATGGAACATGGGGGTCACCTTTGTTTCTTGGGGTGATACAATAAGAAAAAAACAAACAAATTTTTCTTACTGCCACATGCCTCTCCTTAATAATCAGATTTCTCATCCTCCTCGTAATAGAGGGTGCACAGAATCTCATTACCTTCTCTAGCTGAGGGGAGAGAGGCAACACTTCTTCTTTGACTTCCTCTGTAAAACAAGGTAAGGAGAGGAGGAGGGGGTGGGGGCAGAGGAAGCACAAGACACACTGAGTTCTGCTTATTTGCACATACATCGACATCCCCTTACAGATATGTAAATTACTCAGGCAACACCCAAATGCTAAAGTCTACACCATTAGTTTTCCACTTCATAATCTCCACATGGGGCCGTTAGAGGGATAATGTACCATACAATACGTGGTTTACTTTTAATTAATAGGGAAAACGTATTTTGAAACGAATATTAAATCTAGATTAATGTGGAAAACCTCCCAGCTCTTTGTAAATGTAAGCGTCTGCACCTTCCTAAGAAGAAGGAGGGAATAACAGCTAAAGCAGTCCACCTGGGGGGAGTTTGGAAGCAAATGAATGCCAACTCCCTTTATTTTTCAAGCACAGCTATTGGCCTGATGCTGAGTGAATGCTTTTCTATGTGACTAAAACAGCAACAGTAAACTCTGTCAAGTAAGTTATGTTCATAAAACCTGGATAAACACATACTGATATACTCTGTTGATATTAATTCTGTCAAAAATAGCTCAGCTTATTGACAAACCGAGGAAGTTTTATGCTTTTCTAATAATAACTCGGGGACATTTCTGTGTGTGTCACTTCTGTGAACAAAGTGAGAACTCTTCTCTTTGCTGATCTTGTCCTGCACATTTGCAGAAAGAGTTAGGGCTGTCCCAATACACTGGTATTGACAATAACCATCGTTTGGAAAACAAGGTTATGCTGTGAATTTATACGAGTAGTCCTCTGTGCTGGTTGTCGCACATTATTAAATGGAGGGAGGGATAAACATCTAAAGGTTTACAGTACATCTGAAAACAACCTCACAGCGTTTGTCTCTTCAGGTTACAAATCAATTAAATGTTCTTAAATTACATCGTTCTTTTCATTGTTTTCATCCAGGTTCACAGCTAACCATCTGCAGGAAGTAGCTTAACCCTTCAAAATAAAAGCATGGTTTTGTCATGCTGGGAATAGAGCTACCTTAACACAAGACTGAAAAAATAAGAGGATGACATCTTTAGGTTAATGTCTTCTCCAAAGAAGTCTTAGTCATAGAGCTGATGACGTGGATAAATCCCATATTTGAACAGCTTTGGAAATGGACGATGACATGTAAATGAACTGTATTTATTGATAAGGTTTACAAATTAAGGTATTTCTCTGTCATTATTTTGCCTATCCTCAATTTGACAGCTCAAGATGAAATAAATGCTCCCTTTAAGCAGTTAAATGGATCGCTCACTTTGAATATTTGCTGCTGAAGAATTAAAAAAGTTTTTTTCTTCACCAACACCAACTCTCTCATAGTAGTTCATATGTATGAAAAAAAGTACAATATGGGATTGACTAGTCTTGTTTGCCTTTTTAAGTCACAATCAGTTAAAATCAGTCTGTTTTGTTATAAGCACAAAACTCCTCATAGGGGTTTTAAAAGCAAAATTAACCTTTATAGGACTACAAGCAGAGGCAGTGATAAGTGATTGCACCAAAAACTATCAAAAACGTCTTCAATGCGAATGATCAGTATCTTTATGTTATTTCTAAAGTGGTAACCCTTGCTTTTGGTGGAAAAGGGGATGACACAGATTGGGTTGCATTTAAAGCGATTTAGGAGTAACACCAATAGTTACTAAAGAGACTTAAAGTGTCTTTACAGATACCTGCACCTATGAGGCATTTTAATAGAAGGGGCAGTTGAACATTTTCTAAATACACCTGCAGGGATTATACACTTTTTTTTATAATAGTTATAATATTAGGTTATTAATGGTTATTTATACGGTCCATTTATGTCAGTGCTGATTGCAAATAAATTTCCTTAGAAATACATCAAGTAATCCAACAGAGCAGCCATCCTTTTCCTGTTACCTTTGACTTTATTCAAGATATTAAAAAGACAAGGGTCCACCAGGACTCCCACTCTAAAGCCACAACAGCAGAGGCCCTGCAGTGGTATACGATTGGTACATCCACAGTCCTCATCTGGGGTTTGAAAAAACATCTTTTTGATCTCCTTTGATCACCCCTCCATCTGACAGACCACAAAGTAAAGGCGAAAAGGACAGCTCCTCCACTACTCAAAGTGGCACCGTACAGTATAACCCTGAGAGCGTTCTGCTCTCTCCAAATGCCAGACTTTATTGCCAGGTTGAGCCCTGGTTAGACCAATCTGCACTTCTTATATCCCCTGTTCTCTCTTCCTTTGTCATAAAGCCATCCTTCCAACATCACAAACTCCCTTGATCAATACGCTGCGCCGTTCCTTTAACTCACAGGCATACATGTCAGCCCAGCCTTCCAGCTGAAGACATGTTTGTTTATATATCTGTCACTGACAGAGCTTCATGTACACTGTAGGAGCGCTTCTTCTTTCACAAGCTCATGGAGTGTTTCCACTCCCCTAAGCAGGAGGTGACAGAGCATTTAGCAGCTCCTCTACACCAAGTGACACATTTGGCTTCAGTTTGCGTTAAGAACAACAATTAATGCATGTTAATTCTTAATTATGCTAATTTCATTTGAAACGAGCTGTGAGGTTCTTCTAACAGGGTGGCTGGGTGAGAGAGGATCCTTGTGTGACGTGGGCTTGTTGTTGTCTCTGGTAATGCTGCTCGCACATTCACATGTCCTCTAGTGTTAGGGACTCTTAATGAGCAGGGAAGTTCAAACATGACGTGCTCATAAAAATAATTGGGATGTTTTTTTTCTTCTTTTTTTTTCTTATGAACCCAAAGAAAAAAAATCAGAAAACAATGTAATTCATTTGCATACACCCTATCACAATTTACAACAGACCCTTTTTAACACCAGGACTATGTTTTAGCATCAGGGTACTCGAGATCTTTCATCACATGATTATTCAACGAGAAACACAAACAATGCACAGCTAAGTGTTGTTGTTGTGTGTAAAATATTAGCCCTCCACAAAATATCAGACTTTCAATGCTGCTGTGATTTTACCAGAGGAACTGAGCACATCTCAGAGGAACACACAATACACCCTCACTCAGCATGCATACATCTGGCCAAGCTAGGCATCAGCAACCCAAGCTAAAACTCAGGGGCTTTAGTCTGAAGATTATTTTAGCCTTTGGTAGGGATGATTACTTTTTTGACTGTTGGTGACTTTGTATAGTAGTAAAAAATGACTTTTTAGAGTGCAATACAACATCTTCAGTAGTATGTAAAAATCTGTTTCAAGTCGTCTATAGCAAAATCATTAAGTGACTGCTGATGGATTCCAGGATGCATGTTGCCTTCCACACACACTTGTTTCCTGGTTACAATAAGTGCTTACTTAAAAACTAATGGACAATTCGACCTGGACTAGCAGCATAAAAAAAAAAAAAAAAAAAAAAAACAATAAAGTTATAGTTATTTTGGGTGATTAATCACTTTCATTAATTTCATTTACCTAGGGTTACGTTACTGAACCAGCACAGCTGCAACAAGCTGACAAGAGAGTAAAAATGGCATCACTGGTGGGCTTGTGTTTCACTGTTCCAGACAATGATGGCGGCACAATTGTTGCCTGGAAAACATGCTGTTAAAAGGAGGAAAACTAAGGATTGTTACACAAAAAATCTTTTAAGTCACCTGAAAAGTTAAAGAAATCTAAAGAAATATGAAGTGGCGGCACTTGCAGCTAGCAGCAGCGTTTTGCATATAAAAGTTTTAATGTGCATCTGGCACACTTAATCATACCCTCAAGTAAGGCTGCATGAAATTGAAAAAAACGAACATTGCAATTTTTTGTACCCCTGCGATACATATTGCGATATTAAAAAATACAGGAATGACCTGAATAGCACTGTATGCTATACTGCACTGCTGAAATCTTCAGGACAGTTAACCTGCACTGATCTAACCTCTTTTTGTGAATGTTAGTAGAATAGCTTCTGTCTGTCTTAGAGATATTTTTAGCTTGCTTTTATTGTGCAGATGAAAGGCACTGCCACAGAACACATATTTTGGTTGACATCATGCTTCTTGTAACCTAAATAATTCCAGATAACCGACTTTCCTTTTCTTTTTGGCAACAAATCTTCATTTTCGGTGGTTTTCTCTTGTTCGTTGCTCATTTTGCAATTGTTGTTGTTGTTACCGGTGTTGTGCTGAGAAACACATGTCAGCCAAGAATTGCATGCACCTCGCAAAACGCGCACTGCTTATGGTAGAGTGGTCCATGGAAATGTACAATTTAAAACCCATACATCTCTAATTTTTTGGGCTAAACAGTCATGAGTAATGTTCCGAAAGTAATTCTCAGTGGACACGCATTTCTAGTCATAACACCGGCAGCACCACTCGCTCCATTTGTAGGGGCGTGGATCCCTTCTCTCTGATTTTGATTGACCGCTGGCAGGGTAGTCCGATTGGCAACTGAGGAAAGGACAAATGTGATTGGTGGATCGCTGCACAGCACATGCAGCGTATCTCAGTCAGCGACCCTTGAAATTAGATGAGTTCATTCGCCTCCAACATCGCAGGCTCTGCAATGTGCCAACGTGCACAAGTTCATCGTGATGACGATGCTCAAACGATATATCGTGCAGCCCTACCCTCAAGTGTGCAAAAACTGCGAACTGTTTCAGACTAAATGCAAGAGATTTATCTTGGTAATCTTGTTTAAATCAGCCATCAAGAGCAGGTTGTTACTGGGATCAGCTGAAAATACCCTGCATCCAGAACCTTTAAGTATTGGTTATAAGCTATCAAATTTATCTAGAAGCCAAAAGTGTGGCTACCACAGATGGATTATGCATTATGGATTTATTGTAGATACAGGAGGAATGAGGTGTTTAAACGCATGATGAACAGGAAAAAAGAAAAGCCCAAAATCTACAGAAAATATGCATTCTGCTTTAATTTTCTTGTTTTTCTTGTCACATGTCTTACAGACACGGTTATTGTAACAGAGAGGGAAAAAATGGTTTAGTGGGAAAATGAAACTTCAGAGATGACTGTATTTAACACACTATACTACATATAGACAACCAGACAGGAGATAAAAGTTTTAGGTGAAACAAAGAGCCGTTAAAATTCCCTCTGTCCCTGCTGGTTAATAAACATGATAAATTGAATCTCTGTTTCAACCTACTTAGACCATTCTGGCTCTAAAATTTCTCTCTTTGGCTTCAGCACTGCGCCTGGTCATAGCTTCACACTCAACATGGCACAATAATTCCCCTGAGGAACATAGCAAAGCGATCTGTCTGGTGGGTAATGTACTGTACACATGTGCTGTAATGAGATACAATTAAGTCAAACCAAATTGTGTGGACAACTTAGTGTATCTAATTTTCTGATCTTTTTGCTGTAAGCAATTTTCAATTTTTTTTTGTAAAAATCAGATTTGTGTGTCAGAAAAAGATCTGTCTCTCTCTGCTTCTTAAAAGTGTGCAGTCTTATTAGCGTAATTCCCCAACCAGAAACCTGCAAAATGTGCACTTTTGATTTTACAGTTTCATAAAATGTCTCTAATTCACTCTATTCTCCTGTGTTTAGGGTATTCAAGGAAAATGAACAAGACATGGTTGGGCACAGTTAAAGTCTGAGGCAGTCGGAATATTTCACCTGACATGAGCTGAGCTAGTCGCATGGCACAACCTAGCACAACTGGGCCATTAAATATATGTAAATGAAGAGAAACACAAGAGAGCCGGGTATAATAGCACGCACAAGGGAGAGATGGATCCTGGGTAGTGATTAATTTATTTGATGATGCCTCTAGTGAGGAATTTTAGGTCACAAATGAAGTGACAGGATGACAAATTACCATTTTAAGGAATTTACTGGGAATCATTAATGAACAATTGTAAGGTAGTATACAGCATGAGGAAAAGATGGAATAAATGTACATCTTTTTCCTCATGTGAGATAGATTACTTTACTTTCTTGAAACATACTTTCAAGAGTGTCTTATTGTTTTATTATTGAGTGTCTATTATGTTATTCTTTTTATTTGGTGTCAAAAATGCATAAGCAAATCTCTGTATTGTTGGAGAATGATGTTTCTAAGTGTCCAAGCAGCAGTGGCAATGGAGTTGTATTTCAGTCAAAACCCTGCAGTGATTTTACATTAAAGTTTAAGCTACAGCAGCACTCAAACCAGTGCTCTTATCAACATGAAACTCTCTCATTTCTTTTACAGATGTGACAGTCAAGCCAGGCAGAGTTAATGCAGTGATTTAGGATGGACTGTGTATTCTTCATTTTCTAACTACATAAAAATAATTAGGATTACACTGTAGATCAACACTTCTAATGATGCTCTATAATTTCAAGCACATGTCTAATTAAGAAAAGGATTATGCAGAGTGATGCAAAGCTTGGCATGCTCCTTATAGGAGGAGTGGACATATTGCTTCTGGCATCTCTTAAATAATTTGGCTTTGTCACTGACAGAATATATCAATTCATTAATTAAGATTAAGTTCATGTGTAAAAGACAGTATCATAGTATATTTAAGTGTTAAAGGAGACAGATGCTCTTTCAAGAGTCGCTGTCAAGCTTGTCTGTCCCGTTCACTTTTCTGCCTTTAAATGGCTTTTAAAAGCCAGTGGTAAAAGAGAGCCGAGATGACAGGAGGAATCTTCACTGCGTGGATTAACCCGACAGATTCCTTGATTCCCCTCCTGGGCCCCTCCAGAGGAGCCGACGCTTCAGAGACTTGATGGTGCATTACAGTAGGTGTGACAAATATCTTTGGTTTAGAAGTGTTAGTGGTGTGTTGGTTCACAGATGACACTGGAAAGTCTGAAAACACTCCTAATTGCACTTTCCAAATGGGAAGCAATGTCCCAATTTGGTCTGTGCTGCAGTGATATGTCCCTGAGAGGAAGCTACTCTGTGTTGGATAATGTTATATTTGTCACATGTAGGCCATCACTCCAGAGGAGCGTATTTCACTTTGACTAAACAAATTTGAATAGAGTATTTGATGACAAAGAGCGGCTTATTTCTCGTGGAAGAATTAAACAACATATCAGCATTTCAAATGTGTGGATTCTTTCCTTCATGATGAAATCCAAAGTCACACTGAATTGTATGTACATATTTAATATTTGTTGTAAGTAGTAGATTCTTGGTTCTGTCTGAGATCATACTTTATTGGCACCAGAAGTGTGTAAGAAAGCAGAGTTTCAGAGCAGTAGGATAAGGGCACAAACAAGGTCCCAATGAATAGGATACTATGCAGCTTTGAATGGGATGGAAATAAATAATATTTGATTAATTCAAAGGCAGTGATTGACTCTGCTTATCTATCCAATTCTTCACCAATTCCATCTGTCCAGCTGTCAACAACACTTAGACTTATATTACCTTCACTGTTCACTGAGGACGGGGAAGTCTGGCTTCTGATTGGGTCTTTAAATGTCAGCTGATTGTAGATACAGCCTCCATTTAATCAACAGGCCATAACAAAGATGGCAGCCGTTCATTACCAAGCTCAGCTAAGAACAGAAACCACAACCACCCACTCTCACACACCCACAGCTACTGTACCTTTTATTATTTAAACCTTCCAGTGAGGTAAGTTTTGAAAGTCATGTCATCTTTACGTTATAGATTCACATATGAACATTTGCTATTCCCCTCATATGACATGTAACAGAAAAAAAAAACATTGTTGAACTTGGTTGGAAAAGGTCAAACTAGCTCCCTTTATCCATATTAACAACAAACTTGACCATAACATGAGGTTCTCCTGATATTCAAAGTTGTAAAGAGATAAAAAACAAAAAACCCTTCTTTTTTAGGCTCATTGAAAATAAGCGGGAATTGTTGCCAAGTGCTTGATAACTGTTGGGTCTCTATAAATCATGGAAGTCTATGTTTTAGACCTGCTCTTACTTTCCTCATATTACTTTTGTTTTGATTTAGCACAATAAATTGAAAGTTTTTTAATAATTCAGCTAGATTGATATCTTTGCTTGTTTTTGACTACTGTAAACCAGGCAGGGAAATTAATCTGACATAACATTTTTGGGATAAATCCAGTAGCTCCATTTGCCTGAAAACTGTCTTCTACATAACTTCTACATAGCACCGCTCTTGATTTATATCACTGAAGAAAAAAGCAGCATGCCCATATCCCTTTCCTTTGTCCCATAAGGCATTAAATCAAATAACACAGAGGAGCAGCTTTCCGTTTCCACGATAGATCTGGGTTATTTTGCTCGCAAGTTTCCTCTAGATTAATTACATGAATGATTACTTTTGCTCAGAAAAGCTGCACTCCTGCTGAACAGAAGTCTGGCAGTAACACAACAGCCTATCACAACTCAGTGGTGCAGACACAGTCTATTTTTGCTCACTACCTAAGTATTGCATTAGAGGGAAACATGTGGAAATTGGATGCTGAAATTGAAAAGTCTTTGAAGAGCTTGAAGAATGAGCCATTTCTCTCCCCATTTCAAACGCCAGAAAACAAAACCTGAACTTTGGAGTATTCAATTTACTGCTGTACAATTTCACTAGAAGTGTGTTGAAAGTTAGTATATTAAATATAAAGACATATATATATATAAATCGATATTTGTTTTTCTAAAAAGTTCAGCTTTTAGAAAAGTCACCATGTTTTAGGAGATGGATTTCTGTTTCACATGTTTACAAGACACTTCAATCCTTTGGTACAAATACAACTTGAAAATAGAGCTCATTTTATTTTCAATACCAGCAACACATTTTTAAAAAAACTAGAAAAGAGACAACAAAACACGGCAAAAGTTGTGTAATGCTGAAAGGACACCTTAAAAAACATCTCTTGACTAAATAGGTTCATTTGTAACAGGGAAGCTAACATTACTACATTTGAAAAGAGCAAATCAGAGAGGCCAAATCTCTCTGAAATAAAGATCACTGCTCTGTGAGAGACTGTGTGGGCAAATAAAATAGTTCAACAAATTCAGTCAAATGTTCCTCGGCATTAAATTGCGAGGAATTTTGGGTTTTCATTACCCCTTCACATCAAATGATTCAGAATCTGGAGAATTCTCTGTACCAAAGAGACAAAACCAAAAGCCAGGACTGGATGGCTGTTTTCTTCTTGCCCCCAGCACTGAATTAAAAACAGACCTAACTCTGTAATGGAAATCACTGCATAGACTAAAACCCAGTCTTTCAACACGGGTTTGTCACTACATCCATGAATGAAGGCTTAAACTGTAGGCCAAGTTGAGATGGACTGAGATGAAGTGGAAAACTATATTTCACATCCTTTTTGAAAACCATTTCTTCATGTCTAAAGAGTAGTGGGTCCACCTTTTTGTCTTCAGCACACAATTCAAGTGTGCATTCAAGACGGGGCTGCTCAAAGACCAGTGGCATGGACGGCTTACACATGGAAGGCATGATTACTGCAATAAGTTAGGGCTTTAAAGCAAAATATGCTGCCATTCAGACAATCCCTATTGGAGGGAAGATCTTACAGAGATCTTAAATAGATTTTGGAATTTTACCCCTGTGGGATTAAGAAAAGGTATATCTTATCTTATATCTCAGCTAGACATTGCTGAAAGGGTTCAGGGTTCAAATGGTTTGCTAACACAGGGTCCCCTAATTGTTGGGATTTTGGTTTTCTGGCACACATAGATGATACTTTTGGAAAAAAACATCCCAGGGACCCTGAAGATGAAGACAGACTGTAGTCATCATCAACAACAAAACTGACAGGTGGATATTGAAAATTTCAAACCAATGTCTGTGCAAAGCCTTGTTTTTTTTCTTCTTTGAACCAGTTAGACAAGTTTGTCTACCTCTGCATAACCCCTGACCAAACCTCTTTTGTGTCACAACTGAATGCATGACTGACCCGGGTAATGTTCACACTTTGCATTGGATACACACTGCATGTACCATGAAAGTGACTATGAGCTTCTTTCCAGATTGTGCCCAATTTCATGCTGCTGTACACACACAGCATCAGTTGATCACACTGATTTGCCAGATACTGAGTGTTTTGTGTTTTTCTAGGGACTGTTGATAGCATGCCTCGCCATGGACAGTAAATGGTAACAATCCAGAAGAGCAACATACAGAGGAACAGGGGAGTTCTGTAGTAACTATTTCTCAAGTCAATATATTTAAGAAAAGCATCATTTATGACGTGTTTTTTATGTGTTTTAGAGCAGGGGATGTCAATGTACATTAAATTTAATGAGAACCTACTAAGATCTTCTCCCCCAGTGATGCAGAAAGAAGTTGATACTCCCTCTCTCCCCTCCTCTCCTGCACTTGGCCTTTGTGGCAAGAATAATAAAGCTGAATGCAAGTGATGTGTGTGTGCTTTCGGTTTGATTAACCTCTGCTCCAAGCTGTTGCTCCACACAATATCATTGCCTATTGACCTGCAGATGCTTGGAGGTAGGGCTGGTGCAAAGGTCTGGAGATGTGGGACTCGCCGCAGTAACAGGCCTCGGCCTAATTGTCCGTTCTCTGTAAGCTGAAGTTATTGGCAGCTGCCACTGTCTCCACCGTCCGAGCTCCAGCGGAAAAAAAAAAAAAAGACTTGGGGCCTACTAATTGCAATGGCCTTTTCATCATCTCAAATCAAACGCTTTCATACAACCCAGGAGAGGCGGCATCCTCTCAGACCATTAGGGAAGTACTGTACATATAGCAGCTGGACAGGTGCATCACCACCACCACTCCCAGGATGTTGCACACACTTCCTTGCTAGCTATGGAAGTAGTTAGCACACAGCACCCTTGACCTCCTCTCTCTCTCTCTCTTTCCCGAACCTGAATGCCATAACCTGATTTTACTAGTCATTTAAGAGGGTGGTTGGTAGGGGAGCAGAAGCAGCTCAGATGGCTGGTGAAAGTGGGGGTGTGATGGCAGTGGCGCTGTATCGTCAGGGAGGGCAACTGGTCCTCCTGACAAGAGATCAATACTGTCCTCGGAGTGGCTGGAGTCAAGCTGCTGGGTCTGACAGGGGGCCGTGTGGCGTAATTGGATCAGGGGGCGCAGCAAGTTGCCTGCCCACCCCCCCTCCTTCAGTACTGTCACAGCTGTCACATGTCATCCCCCTGCACCGCTGTCACCCCAGGAGGCTAGTGGTTCCCCCTCTCTCCCCCAATCTTCCCCCTCGCACCCATGCAAATGTCCACTTAGCAGATGAATGCGGCCGATATTAGGCGCATTCTTCATGCTTTTATGCAAAAGTAAAATCTATGTCATTTGAGAATTTCATGGAAATAAAGTCGCCATTTATTCAAAGCTGAAAGAGTGAAACCGGCTGTAAAAAACTGAAAATGGTTTGGTTCAGCTTATTAAAAATGGAAAGAAAATAAGGCTTTGGAAAAACAAACAGTGAGGGAGTGAGGATTAGAGGAAATAAAAAGGAAGGCGAAAGAAAAAAACTTTATAGACAACATACAGTAATGAAAAATCTCCCACCTCTATATTACCTCATATAACTCACCAGTAACACTTAATCCAAAACTATTGATTGACTGATGTGTAAGCTTGCTGAATGTCTGTAAATTGAACCGTGCATTGTGAGGTGTCGCTTGTTTTCCAATAAATTTTGTCGCACCAAGGGCAGATAAGATTTAAGTCGATAGACCCTCAAGCAGAAATAGACAAAGAATCCGTCCGGTATCTTAATTATCTGTATTTTAAAATGAACTGCATGATCACTTTAATCTGTCATTTTTCAGCACAGCTCAAGGGACGTGATGATCGATTTCAATAGCAGGGACCGTGTGCTGTAAAGAGACAATAATGGAGATAATGGTTGTCTAGTGTTAATCTGGTTATTGAGGATTCAGGCCAAAAGCCCCTTAAAAGCTCTATTCAGCTCCTGAGGGAAACTGAGCATGTTTTGTCCACCGTTACTAAAAAGCTTCCTGAGTCGAACAATTTGAAAGCTTCAGTAATTGTAACCGTTTTTTTCCCCAAAAGAAAAAGGAAGAAGCCAGAGAGTACTGGGAATAATCACATCATGTGACAGAGGAGGATGTTTCTGACCGCAGACATCACAGAGCGGGCTGGATTAAGGACTGGTTAAACATTAAACAGGAATCCATATGTAAATTTACAGCACTAATTAGGAGATGCTGTCTGAGATGTTATCCTCCAAGAGACTCTCTGCCCTCAATTTTCACACACTTAATCAAATTAAAAGCTTAGGAGCAGCATGATGATCGGATTATCGCTGATACATGTACAATTCCTTTTAGTTTGGGCAAATAATGGGCAGATTCTTGTACAAACCATCCGATGGTTTAACACACTCTTGTTTGTTTTAGATGTCTGGTCTAAGGGGGAAAAGGCAATCACTTTCCTCTGGTCATGCTACATTCATCCCTTTTTCATTAGAGTCTCTGGAAATAAATCTAGCTAATTCTCTTGATTTTTAAAATAGAGGCCCAGATGTTTAGGAAAGAGCCCTCTATTTCAACGCCTGTCCGTCTTCATGCGAGATTTGATATAGACATCAGTTGTGGCACAGTTCAGATGGCACCACTTTGATCATAAGGCCTGAAGACTCACGGACCTCAGGGCTGGAGGGGCTTTTCACACAGGCGGAGCACGCTTCATACATGTACACGCACACGCAAACACCGCCAGGGTTAATACACTTAAAAGAACATGCACAAGTGAACCCACATAAACACACGGGTGAAGCTGAATCACTGTTTCACTGATCTATGACAGCAAAGCCTCCTTCTGGGACTGCACGTTCACCTTGGCAGTCTCAACGGTTCAGTGGCCCCGAGGATGTGGTTAACAAATCGGGAGAGAGCTCGCCGGCTCCGGGGTGCACGACGGCTTGTGCTAAGTGATCTGTATTCCTTGAGAATCTGCTGTTCCTTAACCCTGTGAAATTAAGAACACTTCCTGAAACTAGCCCCTAAGACCTCTCACATAATACAAAATTCAGAAAGCACCATGCATCAGTGTCCTTGTGATGGTGTTTTATGGCAAAAAAAAAAACAGCCACAGCAGAGCCAGGAATGCTGCTCTAGAAACCCTGTTGGAAAGAGCTTATCTGTATCTATATTATACACATATAGTCCCTCCCTATTACTGTGCAACAATTTGCCAAATAACACGGCTGTTTAATTCATGTATTTTCTTTTCTAATTCGCTCTCGATTTTAGAGGCTTTTCACCACAGTAGGAATTCCACAAGGCTATCCCCAAGTTTTGTCAAAGTGTTTTGTAGACATAATTTACCAGATACCACCTGCTGTAAGACAGTTAACAGTAAAAAGAACAAGGCTCTCTGAGTATCGAGGAAAGTAAAGATTGGCAGGTGAAAGTGAGGCTTACAGGCTGACCTACACACAAGACCTCTTCATCCGTGACTCATAATCACTACTCTGGGGGAGTCACATGGTCTGCTAAAAGGCAGCCAAAGCCATTATGGGGGTGCTTAAAACTCCACTTAAAGATCACTTTATAGCCTATTACTTTAACTGTGGTTACGTATTTACATGACACCTCCAGCAGCTTTTTGGTTTAGTAATACATTGCTTGTGAGTGGAGCATCTTATGTGACTGTCTGCTGTGACAAAAGTAGTCAACATCCAGGCAATTGCTAAAGGTGTCATGTATTTCTCTTTCTGTGCCTCAGACCCACATGTTGTATAAAAAGACAGGAGAATAAGAAGAAGCATCATATATTTTGAACATCATGTATTACAGCAAACTTCCTTTTATAACCACAAACTGTACACATGTCTTAATTTCTCTGGGTAATTTTGCATGGTGGCATGCTGCTGTTGTTACATTTGTATGATATGACCGGGGCCTTGTCCCCCCAGCAGGCTCCGCTTGGATCAGTTGAGACAGCCCTTACCCTGGGGTCAGCCGCGACCGCGCGACCACACCACTCTGAGGTGACGTGGAGCCAGGGCGATGGTGTGTAAATAAAGGGAGAGAATTGCGAATCTTGTCATGGCTGCAGCGAGCAGAGCAGCTCAAGCAAAGATGGTTGCCCTCAAACCTGACTGGGAGGGGGTTTGCCGCTCCGTACGGAGGTGGCAGGGTGGCTGGTTGTCTGGCGTGGGGAGGAGGATGACTACCATCGCTGCGTCCCTTTCACAGCCTCCCTCTGGCCTGACAGCTCAGGAGCAAATTCACTGCTGACATATGACTTAATCAACAGCACTAATGAATGGCCATATGAAAACAATTAAAGCTTTCAGAGCGGCCGTGGCAGGTATTCTGCTGTTAACAATTCAACTTTTTTATCAGCTGCTTAATCATATCTGAGGGACTATGACTACATATATATTCGGTGACAGCCTCCAATTACTACTTTCATTTTTTCCCCTGCCACTTTAAATGTATGATAGATAATCACGCTAAATAAAAGGCCATTATCAGGCGTTTTCTGACAATTAAGCTACAAATGGATCAGAATTATTATTTTACTTCAATATTTCAATATCCTGCTCGGTGTGAACCCCATGCATTGTGCAAATGTCTCCTCAACAAAGGATTACAATCAATTAAACATTTATGGAAATGGCATCGCTTCCTGTAACACCGGGCTATTTCCCCTGACATTTTGCACCTATTATATTTTCAGACATTTGATGATGTTTCTGACTCATGCTTGGACATTTTGATAAACACTGACATGGAAAAGACTGATACAAGGTATCTTAATACAGATCTCCAGTATGTCTTCTGTTTCAACAGTAAGATGGAGATATTTCTCATAATCCTGAGACATGACTTTAACTAAGAAAGAAATCGGAGGTTGAGCACAAAATAATTACTCATCATCTATTCAAGATTTTTATCATAAGGGACAGCATTGTTCTGGGATAGAAACAGTAAGTCTATCATGTATGTGAGGCATATTTCTTTAGATAAACAACTCAATTAGAATATATATATATTTTAAAAATGTACACTACTCATCAGGTTTTCTTTGGCAGTGAAATGCTCAAGCAAGAAAATTAGACTTTATGTTTTAGAGTCAATTTTTGTGCGCGTAAACCTAAGCCTTATATTTGCTAACAGAGTAAACATGAATATTTCTTTGTGCCAAAGTTTTTTTTTGTGTGTGTGTATTATTCAAATCTAAGTTTATAAATAAAAAAACTTAACCAGCATCTATTCATTTATATGACTCAGTTTAATCAAGAAGACTTCTGTGACGCAGACTCCTTTAGTTCTGACAGTGTGTTTCTATTATGAGTGAGGCCATGGGGAGAGGTCAGCACGGTTTGCTGGTGTGTTGTTTCATAGATGAGATTGTGATGAGCATCTCGACACTCTGCATCCAGCTGTTTTTAATTCACAGAAAGAGCTTTAATTCCAGTCAGAGCTTTGAGTTTCTTCATGACTCATTAAAAGCTGATTTTGTTTAAATGTTTAAACAAACTTGAATTACTCTCATAGTTTTGTCATAATCCACAGAAATTTGGTAAATGGACTTGTACTTAAATACTGCTTGTTTTAGTTAATTGTAGTTTACATTCACCCATTTGTACACATGCAGACACTGGGGAATACTATAGTGCTATAGGGATCGTCAGCATGTACTACTACCCTAAATGTGCATGGGTTCAGTATCTTGCCCACAGACACTTAGGCATGAGACTGCAGGAGCTGGGATCAGACTGACAACCCTCTACTTGAGAGACAGCTGACTCTACCACTGAGAAGAGATTTATCTACTCTACACCTCCTCTTGATGCTGAATCACTTTTTAATTTTTAGTAGAGAACTTTTCTCATCTAGTATTATAGGGATGCAATGACACCTGGCTCTCCATGCCATTCAGATCAACTAACCTAACCTTCTTTCCATCCCCAGCTCAAACAAAAAGTGTCTCTTTGCTGTTTCTTTGCGTCTTTGCTTGTTTGACTGTCTAGTATTTTAATACGCTATTTTTGATTCTTTGTACTTTGTACTTTGTTTGTATTTCTGTGCTTACTTTAGTGCTGGACGATAATTCGATAACAATATATATCGATCGATAGACGTGTGGTGCGATAGAAAAAAAACGGGTCGATAAAAAGTTCGATAGAAAAACACAGTTTCCCTTTCTTTTTCATCATAGCCTATCATGTAGCTTTTACTACAGTCATTACTTCCTCCCAACCAATCACAAACGCAGACCCAGGTACGCTACGGCACCAAGCCCAGCCCCTCTCAAACCACAACAGACAGCACGTGTATTAGAAATAATGTTACAGCAAGGAGAAGCGGAGGAAATTGTCCCGAAAAAAGGTTTCAGTAGTTCACCAGCATGGCAATGTTTTGGTTTTTACAAGTCTGACAAAAAGCGAACAGCGGTCGTTTGCAAAATTTGCAGAGAATTAGTAAAAACCAAGTCTGGTAACACAACCAACTTGCTCTACCATCTAAACCGATCGCACCCGCAGGAGTACGAGCTGTGTCGGCCGCGCCGCAACTCCACGTCGTCGTCGGAGGAATCCTCTGGAACCGCTGCCAGCACAAAGCAAGTGAAGCAGACCAAACTGGACTTCGTTTCTTGCCAAAATACGACAAAGCGTCCAAGCGGCATAAGGACATCACCCATGCAGTGACATGCTCCATAGCGAGGGACATACTGCCAATAACTACCGTTGAAAAGCCTGGCTTCGACCAGCTTCTAGCCACTCTTGACCCGCGATATGAAGTGCCCGGCCGCAAGTATTTCTCAAACACAGCGCTTCAGGCATGAAAACGGGTCAGGGGTTGAAAAGCTGAGAAGGGTGCGGAGGAAATATGTTCCGGTGTTGTGCTGTAGAATGCACCCCTGCATCCTGTCCACTCATTAGCTTCTTAAAGTGGAAGAAAATGAGCTCATATTTTACAAAGACGCGAGTATTTGGATCATGGCTACTAGCAGGGGGTGCGTTCGGCAGGGGTGCATTCTACGACACAACACCGGCGTGGATAAGTCCTGCTTCTCGTGCTCAGTTTGCGTATTAAGTCAATCACATGATAATTAAAAAAAACAAATCTCCCGACCCCGGGAGAAATATTTCAGTGTTCAGACACCAGGCTGTGGGCAGTTTCTCACACAGTTAAAACTGGTAGTATGCTATTCCCACCTAAAGCTATTCTGTTTATTTATATATTTGTTTGTTTTGTTTATTTTCATCAAAAGTCTATTTAAATATTTATTTATCAGATTTTCTGGTCACTTTAGTCTTTATGTTTGTCAGTATTTACTGACGTCACTCAGGCCACTTAAGTTGATTTCTTTTTTTTTTTTTTTTTAAGTTCTTTTTTAAAAAACTTTCAGTTGTGGTAAAAAAATAAATAAAAAGGTGGTTGAATAAAGGTTTGAATTTGATTTCAGTGCTTATGTGTTCTTTATTAAAAGTAGGTCATTAAGCAATAGCATAAAACATCCAGGGCTGCAATTAAAATATATGTTAAATAATTATAATAATTATATCGATAATTATCGATATCGATCAATATGATTTATTTTTTATCGATATGCTTTTTTTCTATATCGTCCAGGCCTAGCTTACTTTATGAAAGTGTGTTAAAGGTGTGATTCTAAATAATTTTTTTTCTGAAATATTTACAACATGATTTAAATTCTATACTAATAAATGATCAATGACAGAAAAAATACGCAGCAGTGTAATTTTCCAAAACAATACACAGAGATCTTAAATCTGACAACTGCGAACTGATTCAGATCATGGGATCTTGACCCCCCTACTGCCTTGTTTTATATCCAAATGTCCATAGTTTAGATAAACAGCATGGTTTATTAGAACGATAATTCTTTATTCTACTAGCATTATCATGGGTATTTCAACAGTCATAGCAGATTAACCATGTGAGGGCTTTCTACAGGCTCCTCTTTGATATGTCTGCATGCATCCTGGTTAATATCGTTTCACTCCCTCCTTTCTTCTTCACTTGACCTTCTTCTTGCAAAACAGCCACTGCCATTATGTTAGAAAGTTGGTCATAGTAATCATAAAAATACTGAATCCCTCACTGCTGGAATTTCTCAGTGAACCATGCTTACAAATCATGTCAGCCTCCTGTATTGTACCAGACCTTTCCAGAACCATATCCATCCTGAATCACCTCTGGAAGGTCATATAAGGTAACACAAAATAGGGGAAACTTTCACTCATGTTGTTAGAACTGGGTGATAAAATGATAATGATATATATGGTAAATTAATTTCCCTCAATATCAAAAACATGGTCAATAATCTTTTCAATAGTCGGCATTCTGCCATGTTTTAGTAGACTATAAGCATAGCCACTGAAAATGGGAGTTGTTCCGGGTCTGCTTCGCACTGAACCAATCGTGTGCTGAATTACAGGCAACTATGGCATTTTAACACATGGAACCGACAGCAGAAATGCAGATGAAGGCTTAACAGATGAAGACACTGTCAACAACTCTGGCACTAAAACATCACTGGTGTGGAGGTATTGGGTTTTTTGAGATTAGACATGAAGCAGAGTAATTTGCACTGCAAATTATATCGAGTACATGTTCTCGCGAAGTCGGGGAATACCTCAAATCTTTTTCACCACCTGAAGCAGTGCCACGCAGCAGAGCACGCACAATGCCAAAGGTTACAAACGGAGCAAGGAGCCCATGGCACTAGGGATGCAACGATTATAGATTTTCACTGTAGGATTATAGTATGAGAAATAATCCCGGTTTCACGATTATCACGATTATTATACATAAATTTCACAACACTTCTAATACTACTTTATAAAATTACATGAACATTCTTGAGTGTTCTTAATGTGCTATTTATTGGCAGAAAACAGTAATCAAACACCACAGTACAAAATAATAAATAAAGATAAACAAAAAAATCTAACTCTCCTTTGAAAGGGAGAGTAGCAAATAAACAGTGTCTTTGTCTTTTTGGAATCAAATAGAAGCTACATATTAGCTATGTGTTTCCCTTTAAAACAAAACTGCTCCGTAAACATCTGTTTTCCCTTTAGAATAATACATATGGAGTGATTGATCAACTATATTACAAAATTATTTCGTATTTTCAGTTTGTTATTTTTTCTGCATTTATTGACCTGAGTAGAGAACTTGCAAACATGGTGAAAGCTGTACAGCTGCCTTTTGAAACAATAATACTCTAATAGTGAAAATAAAAAGAAACAAGGTCCATATCTTTGGAATTAAATGCAAACCTTTTTGCCTTTTTAACAGAACAAGTACTCAAAGGCTACAGAACCCATCTACATCAGGGCCCTTTTCACAAACAGCACATTTAGTTCAAGTCCTTTTAGTTCAAATTATAGTGCAAAAATGTGAGCATGTTCACATTGTCGGCGCTCAGTCTTGACCGCTGAGGAGACAGGATATGGCCACTTGCACTGAACACCCTTTCTGAAGGCACACTTGTTGCAGGAATACACAGATACTTTTTGGCTACTTTCGAAATTGTGGCACTGTCTTTTTCATTAGATGGAGAAATCCAGGTTTTTCCACAATCTGAAATGGCATGTCTTTGGAGATGAAATAGGCCACAGCTTCAGTCAAATCCTGGGCTTGTTTTGAAGAGGGAGCATAGGTCACAGACTTTGAAAAGGATGCCGCCACAGTAGGTTGTTGAAGTGCAGAACTAGAGGTAGTCTTAAGCTAAAAGTGAATAAGAAAAATTAAAATAAATAAACATGCCATGAACTTTGGATTTGCAGTAATGATTTAAGTTATTTTTAAATGTTTGAAATAAAGTATTTATAAATAAAGTATTAAATGAAGTAAAACATCTCTTATGCCGTGTTAATAATAACTGAAATGCAATTAATTAGATCCCAAGACGGGAAGAAGAAAACTTCATTGACTCCGCCAGATGGTGCCGGAGTCAGGTAAAACATGCCGCTTTGCGGCTGTTTGTTTACATTGAATTTAGAGCTCAACTCTCACTGCTACGCCACTGATTGTATGTGACACGTTTACACTTGACTCCCTACCAACTCAATGTTTCCTTTGGTAACTTGTTCTAAACGGAATTTTACTCGGTCATTGTGTGTTACCTTTACTTCAGCGTGTGAAGTCGGGTGATGATCCCGCAAATGCTGCATTAAATTTGATGTGTTCGATCCCTTAGCCGCAACTTTTTTGCGGCAGGCTTTACAAATTGGTGCTCCGTCGTCCTGAAGGACCCCCTGGTCATTTTTAAGATAACCAAAATGCTCCCAAACTCCCGACTTTATTTTTTTTTTCGGCGGAAAGAGAGCGTCGCTCCCAGGTGCTTCTGCCATCATTAGCTCATTAAGCGTAGCCGCGTTCTTCTTCTTCTTCTTCTTGCGTTGTTTCCAGCAGAGTAGTCACGTGTCTCCTGATCATATGACAGCACGGCACTAAAAGCAGGTGCATCGCTGGTGTAACTTTGTTTTCCTTTCGAGCAGGTTGCGCCAAAATAGCATGTCATCCGTTTTTTGCGAGTGATAACAAACACTCGGTGTTGCGGAGCCTGTGGGATTAATTAACCGTGACGTTTTAAATCGCGGTTAATAGTACTATGGGTTAATCGCTGCATCCCTACATGGCACCTATGCAGTCGAAAACAGTCGACCATTCAGTCCGCTTTCCCTAGCGTAACACCTCACAACAAAACGTCAAAGAGACACAAAGACCTCACAGATGCAGTAGCTTATTGTATTGTTAAAGACATGCTACCAATAAGTACTGTTAAACTTCATTTTTTATATCCTGATATATATCGATATCGGCTGATATGAAAAAATATATTGTGATAAACTTTTTCCCGTATCGCCCAGCCCAAGTTGTTATCATTTAAAAAACATTTCACTGCATTTCTTTCACACTTCAATGTTTTCCACTAAAGAAGGGCAAAAGGGTTCTGGTCCTTTAAGAGTCATTGACGATGTCAGAGATGACATGGTGATGGTGGCTCAAATCAGAAGCAGATTTTGACTTAACTGTGAATTCTATAAAAATCATTGTGGTAAATTGACTCATTCGCGTTTTCGTTTTGTCAGGTTAAGTTTGTATATTGATTGCATCCATTCAGGAAATTTCTCCTATCATTTGTACCTAATTTTAGAAATTATTTAAAATCTACGGTGAGAAGTTTTTGACTGGGAGTGAAACAGACTGAATTTTACATTGGTGTCTTTCTACATACATGACTGTGGTTTCTCACTTCATCTTATTCTCAGCAAGAAAGCAAATCTCAGTGTTTCCTTTATATTGAACTGCTCCTCCGAGTAAATGTGCATGCAAAATGCAATTGCCACCTTCTAAGGCAGACAAATTAAAACTCTCAGAGTGCAAAACTTCAATCAAAATCCATTTTTTCAGTTCAGATCCCAACCCTCCCATTCTCTCTTGTTATTAACTTCTATTTTCTCCATCACGTAATCACAACCAGTGAAGGCAAACAGACAATTGTTCTTCTGGAAAAGAAAAAGAGCAATATTTGTCTTAAAATCCTGAAATATGACTGCTCTGCTCAATGAGTTTTGAATATTTTTGTCCAATACACAGTTTGTCATGTCTTACATAGAGCTCTGATGTCCTTCTTGTATTTCTGACTGTCATGAGCAGTAGTACCTCTTTCCATCACATGGTTTGTCCTCTAATGCAGACTTGCTGACATTGTTGAGAGATGAGTGAACACGTAACACAGCTGTGTTTGTGATATGCTTCTCATTGGACTTGATTCACACCACTTTAAAAAAGAATTAGTAATGGTATCCCCAGGTGTAGCACACAATATACAAGTGTGTGATTACAATATCCATATGCACTGTGGGTACCAAGGTATGTAAGAATAGATAGGAATCCTCCATACAAATATGAAAATCAACTTTCTATTCCATATATAATCAGTCGGCCCACTGCAGTGGGAGATATCAGCCGAGCTTTCCATTTGCTGATAGTGGCATGCGGTGGTATTAAGAAATCACCCTGAATGTGCCGGGATAGATAACTGAACATGTTGGGTGTCTACAGGAGATATATTTACACAAAACAGGGAGCAGACAGGGTAGATCTAATTGACTAGGTAGCAGTTTGCCGAGGTTGGTGCAGCAGGTCTCTGAGTGGAGTGGATGAGGGGCTTACAGAGAGGCCGTCAGAGAGCAAAAGATTAGTGCTGACGTCTCTGCCACATCAATTACAACCCGCTGCTTGGCCAGAGAGAAATCCCCACCATTGTCTCTTCAAGGCCAGCGAGCACAAACTGGGTGTGTCAGAGATCAGCCAAAGGAGGAAGAGCAAGGCCTCGAACCTCCCAGTGGGAGTCGCTCCTGTGGGCTGGTGGTTCAGAGTCCCCTGTGGAGGGAGGTGCCACAGAGAGTTTCGCAGCCAACACCGTACCTGTCATTCAGCTGGGGCACATGGTCCAGCACAGTGTGGGTGAGGGGAGGGGAAGGGAAGGCGAGCACAGTTCAGATTCAGCTTTTTGTCAATCTTTGTTATGTGGCTTTGAAGTGGGGAAAAATGATAATACTATGTTTTTTTTTAATTATTATTTTAGTATTCAACTCAAGGCCTTCAGTCCTTTCTTTGGCTTTTAACACAAACCATTCTCATGTTGTCTGTTTATTGATTACAGTTTAATTGCTTTTATCTGGTCTGTTCGTGTATTTTGCCGAGTGTTGATTTTGTTTGTTTTTTAATGTCTATGTAAAGCACTTTGGTCAACTTGGTTGTTTTAATGTGCTCTACAAATAAAATTGTATTGTATTTTCTTTTTCTCACTCTCCCTCTGTAAACAAACCTCTTTTACTATAAATGCATACAGGAAAGAGAGTCGAGGTTTCACAAGTTTCTACAACACAAACCTTTAAAACCTTTAAAAAAAAACACATTCTTTCTGCATGTCTCACAATCACAGTAATAAGTTCAATCTACACTGCAGTTATACTCAAACAACCTCTGCTTCCAAACACTGCTAATATCAAAATATATCAAGTCTCAGCTAACACGATGTCTTGGCGTGCTGGCCACCAGGCCCGAGCGGCATGAAGCCATCAAACAGAGTCAGCCTGCCCGCTCTGCCTGCTTCTTGTTGTTGGACCAGTCAGAACCCCCACCCTAATACACCCAGGTCTGCATCCTTCTCAGTAGGGGGCTGACACCAGGCATTAGCCTGCAGGGCCTCTGATATCACCAACACCTTCACCTTCGGCCTGAACCCCTGCAATGAAACTGCACCCTGCACAGAGGCACAAGGACTGAGACTGCTAAAATATTTGCAGACTGTGTCTTAATATCGACATTATTTCAGCTGCTCTGTGAGGAAAGATGCTTCCCACTATCAGACAGATTTCCCTCCAGAAATCAAAGTTTCAGTCCTTCATTTTGCTATTGCTCAGAAGTCATTTATACTCTTCGTCCAACTCCCTTATCTTTAAAGTCTATAATTTCAACAATCAGTTTGACTCAATTGGATTACCTCAGCCTATTATATGCACACATGCAGTCATTAAGTCAACACAGAGGGACAGCACGGTGATGATGAGACACTAAGAGACAATCACTCATATGTCTTAACAACTGTAAAACAGGACTTCAGAGACTCAGAGAATGGGATCATAATCCCATTAACTTTAATTAGATCTGTGTGATGCTCACCTTTCTTCTGTGACAACAAATTAATGATAAGCCAAAGAGAATTAGAACAGTGGTAAGTGAAACCCTTTTCTTCCCCTCAAGGCTCTCTACTGGGTCCCAGCCTCACCTAAAAGCTCATGAGAATTTAGATCAAACCCCTCCTGTGTGGAGCTGAGTGAGACCGGCCATAAATTGCTAATAGACTAAATGAAACGAGGTAGGAGGCTCCTGCTCTGCAGCAATTACCCCTCAGATGTAGTCATTCATATCTCTGCATGTCTCGTTTCATCAGGGGAGCGCGGGCTCTTTGTCAGCCTGTCTTTGTTGCACAGCGCTGGGCTGGTTAGAGGACTGACCACGGTACGGATATGCAGGGGAGCATTTGAAACAACAAAGTGCTGTTTGACTGGCTGGCCGTTCACAAGAATGGCACCTCTTCCTGCCTTTCATGTAGTGTGGGTTTATATAATCAATTATTAATCAAAGTGGGGTTTTTGAAACTCAAACTCAAAGACTCGTCCACTACACTTAAGTGTCTCCCGGTGTTTTGTATTTGCCTGGCTGCCTTTTTATGGCTGTATTTATCAGGCTTTAATGGTGTGTGTTTATGAAGACCTGCTTCAAAAGTCAATGTTCATGAGTGGGATGCACCACTTCTGGTTGGCATGATGTGTATTAGACTATGGACACATTTCATGGCCGCTATTTGCTCTATTTCAAAACAGTGCAGGACTTCCTCCATGTTATTGTTGATAAAATCAGACCAGTAGTGAGCCAGTCACACTTAGTTATTTGGCAAAGACAGAAGAAATACTGATTTTTGATCTGTCTATTTTGAATTCATTTTTTATAAACCAATATTGTAATGATATTTTAAGCCCATAAAAATAACAGCTAAATTATTGATCAATGGTGTCCCTGTTTAAAACAATACTGTTTTGAATACAATTTTAATGTAATTAAGAATCAGACGGCACTAAAAATTGTAAAAAACAGATCTACAGTAATTTTTTTCACCTGATGCTGCCTTGAGCAATGCAAGGTACAACAGTCCATTACCAAAGAGATCAGTACATTACTAATGTTAAAAAGCATGCAGCCCTGCTCTTCCTAAAAGTCATGCTGGAGGAGGAGCCCTCAGGACCCTCTCCTTCAAAATTCCTGGTCAGGGTGTAAGAAGCAGACACCCTCTGTACTTCTCAGAGTACACTTATTTTCCTCTTTCATAAAGTTTATTGTTAGGGCTGGAGTTTTCCAAACAATGTTTTCATGTCACTAACTTTAACTTTAATTTCTCATATCCAACTAAAGATTCCTCTTTTTTGTTGCTGCAGATGGCTTGCTGCTGTGGGCCTGCCAGACTAACAGCCACAGCTATGAGTTTCATTCTCACCATTATTATCACTATTACAATGCCCATGATACCGTGTGATCTGTGACTTTCATTCCTACCCTTATTGTTTGTATCATTAGTATAAATGCTTAAATCAGACTCGTTGACTCTGACTGCGTTAGACATTAAAATCAGTCTAATACTGTCCATATGCATCCTCTGCAAATATCACAAACATTTTTTTCCATTAAATCTGTAACTGTAACCATAATACTGTGTGACCTGTTGTTGATGTTGTTTGGGGTCCACCTCTCTCTCTCTCTCTCCCTCTCACTCTCTCTTCCTCTCCCTCTCTCTCTCTCCAATCCAGACATGGTCATGGCAGATGTCTGTCTGACATGAATCTGGTTCTGCTTGCGGTTTCTGTCTGTTCACAGGAAGTTTTTCCTCTCCACTGTAACTTGATGTAACCTGGTGAGTTTTCTGCTTATGATGGATTAAGATGAGGTAAGGCTGGGTCTCACCTGTAATAGGGGACTGAATCTTGTCCTGTTTTGATGTTAGGTCTAAATAATAATACAATGACTATGGTCTAAATCTGCACCTGCAAAGTCTTGTCACCTGGTCCCTTTATATTTTCCATTATTCCAACCTGCTGCTCGACACTCCAGCTCCCTCTGTGGTCTCATGTTACTAGTGACAGTATAATGAACATTAGCAAATGAAAAGGAAGTGCTGGTTTGCATGTCCTATTTACTGCGTATCCAAATGACTCCAGAAGCAAATGGAAGTTGAAAGTTTGCAAGATTCCTACATCAGTCTCATTGTATTGATGTTAAAGTACCATCTAACTGGCAGTGGAGAATTTGTGTTGCCCCAGATTGTAAAGGCCCACAATTAGCATATCTTGTCAGACATTTAAAAAAATCAGGTAAAAATGATGACAATCAGATTTGAAGAATCCTGTTTACTCTGAGACAGAACAGTAGAGATAGAGATAATCCGTCTCAAGTAAACCTTTACACTTGTTGTCTTTTACTTTCAACACAATACCTCTGACTAAAGATCTATGAATAAATATTTCGCCACTTGCAACTCAATTCAAGCATTTGATAAAAAATTCATCCATTGTTTGGAAAACTCCAGCTCTTCTGTCCATCTTTTATTGTTAGACAAATTGAAGTGTGCTCTGGGAGGGTGGCCAGCGGTAAACACAGAGAATCCATTTAGCTATCCCATTCCCAGACTGAGAGGAGAGCTGGGCCCTTCAAAGGCAGAGGCAACAATGTGAGTGACATCAGGTCATCCTGCCTCTTCACACTCACCTGGCTGATAGAATTGTTCTGGGGGGAGATAGGAGGAACCTGTGAAGCACAGCTTTTTTGTCATCGCCATATCTTATGATTGATGGCTCCATGGCCGCAGTGAATGTGCCCTTTTTAAATAATTTATGTTGCCCATCGCTATGGACAAGTAGCTTATAACCGGAGTTGTTATTTTTTCATTGACTGGAGGGATCAATACTTTAAAGACATGACATAGCCACTAATGAACTACTTAAATGTCTCTCTGGAGTGGGAAACAAGTGCAGTGTTTACTCAAAGCAAAGAATAAAAACACTTTTATCACAGTAAAGCTCCACTTTCATGGATTCACATGAAAAGAGAGACATGAATGAGGCAAAAGTTAGGGTCTCTTTAGATTGGCAGGACTGCAAACCAAATAAATTCAGCAGCTTGTTGTTTGTTAGACTACAAAAACACAACAGAGAGATCTGCATTTGGACATATGACCTGGAAGTGATTGGGCCCCTCAAACCCTAAACACAGTTGGATTAAATGCATGGCTGTCACCTGGAGTGGATAAGACCACAAACGTGAACCTAATGCATTATTAGCTGAGAGTATAATCCAAAAATAAGCGGTGTAATTACCTCAAACAACCCAGTAGAGTTATATGTTGTAAATCAAAAGGCCCTTGTTCATCCTCCTTCTTACAAAGTGACAAATTAGGTGAACAATATTGTTTGAATTCTTATTAAACTTGATTAATTTATATCATTAGTTGATCGCACAACAGCTCATAAAATATACTAAATTAATTTCTTTGCTGTGATTAATACACGAAACACTTGAATTAACAACAATAAATCAATTTGTGAATCAATTACATTATCATGTTTAAATACAGAGCTAATAGTGTACATTAACTAGGGCTGAAGAAGTGATCATATATCATTTGGCAATTCAAAGAGGAAGAGCAGAGGAGCATCCTTAAATGATCAACGATGAAAGAGATCCAACTCTGGCCTTAATGCTGGAGGTCCAGATACATCTTTACATGTTGTACAAAGGGTAAGTTATCTACCATCAGGGTTCATTGTCACCACGGTTACCTTTGATCTGAGATTTACTGTCAAACAAGTAACATGTATCCCATCTTATATAGCTAGTGTGACACTAACTTTAACAGCAAAGCCTTCACAATAACTGCAAATATTGCAGGACTGACTGTAAAAGTAACAGGGATGTAACAAAGAATTTAAATCTGTGAGATATAAAAATTACTATCTGCACTTTTGTTAACAACTGAGGTGGATCTGCCCTTGACTTGTGATGTTGGACATGAGTAATCCTTTTAGTTCCTAAAACAGGCTTAAAGACATGGCGGCAGCAGGTGAGGACTTCACAGCAGAGAACATGCAGCTATGTGTTTAGAGCCATCATGCTTTAAAGGGCCCATTGTGTCATAATGGAGCATTGAATGCTGGGCCATTTTGAGGGTCCATTCAAATGTGTCCAGCTAATGCCCTTCTTTTTTTCCCAGGCTGCAAAGAGTCCACCACATGCTTCCTTTGTGGGATAAAATATTCTAGGATTCTTTGTTTGACAGTTTAATGAACTTTTAAGTGGTCAGGCAATACACACTTCAACTTAATTTCAACTCAGTGGAACAGTGAGCGCTTAAAACACTTTAACCCGACGGGTAGCCATGTTAGCTGGGTGGCTAGCTAGCTATCTGCTGTTAGGCAAGGGTTAAAGGTTGTATGACATTAAGGGAAAACTCCACAGACCAGACTCCAACTTTCAGTTTAGCCTAAGTGAGTCAGGCTAAGACGAGGTTCTTCCTAGAGTGAGTCATTTTAAGGACACTATTGGCCTGAAAGCTATATAGAAAACCTTAGATGCTCAACAAAGTTTTTCCTGGTCCTTTAGACATTTTTCTTTTTTTATCTTTTTAATTGAGCTATGTCCTACCCATAAAGTAGAGTACAAGCACTCTTTGTCATTTTTTTTGCTTACATGTAGCACATAGTTCTCAAGCTATTAGCTCTTCTTGTAATATTACCTTTAAAGACAGTTGTTAAAAAAATACATTTAAATATATTTTACTTATTCTCTCCGTTTAATTTATTATACGATTAAGCAGGAAGAAATTCAAGTCAGCCACCCTCCTGTCTCCCATAAACTGACACTTTGCTCAATGCTTAGAATAAAGTAAGAACAACAAATCAACAACTGTCAAACAGCCAAGAAATAACATGCCACAGAATGCAATGTCCAAAGATAATGAGCAGTTTAAGACTCATTTAAGATTAAAAAGCTCACGAGTCTATTTAAAAAATAAGATACCACTGTGATGCTTACACATGTGATCTAAAATGATTCAACTTACATTCAGGTCAATACAGTAGTAATATTTTTTAATATGAACATAAAATGCGAGATTAAAAATAATATATTAAGTTGCAAAAAGATGATTATTTTAATCTATTTGACCATCAGACAGGGTTTACTGATTTCACTGTCTCTAGTTAGACTGATCTAGAGATAACCCGCAACTTTGTTTTTTTAAACTAGCTGATGATGAGTGGGTGTAAATTCAGTAGACTAAGTTTTTCTTAGGCTGATGACCGCCCAATAATTTTCATTTACTCCCAAAATATTACTATTTAGCAATTTTGCATTCTTTCAAAACAAAAGCATCTTTGTTATAAAAGTAAAAAAAAATGGAGATTTTAGATTTAAACATAAAAAGAAGCTCACTTTCTACAGTGTACCCACTCCCACTATGAACCACATCATAGTACAAGTCAACTTTGATTTTTAATCTGAGCCCAGTACCTTGCAAGTTAAGTCAGGAGACTTCAAATGAGACACTTCATCCACTTGAGCACTTTACAATTACGGTATAGAAGTTACAGCCTGCTACCAGCCAGCTATGAAAAGCGTGTCAAAGCTTTTTCTGGTTTCACTGCAGAGCTACAGACATTGCTGCCCCCTTACAGGGCTGCTGCAGGTGTGAGAGGTCCTCTCAACCAGCTGTTGTATGGATCAGTCAACAGAGTTAACGTGACACACTTTGTAGAGAATTACACCTCCACCGCAGTGAGCTTTGGGCCTATATGGTCTCGCTAATAAACCTGGACCTTGTAATAGCTGTCTGATCACTCAAACGTAGGAGCAGCAGCAACGGGAGGGCAAGGAAATGTCATCCAACATCGATAGAAAATGTACCTCCACCTTTGTTTAAGGTTCATGCGGGCTGAGTTTGATTGGTTTCTGTGTTTGTGCCAGGGATTGGCTTGTTATATGGGCACAAGACTTGACTATTATTTCAACCACTCAGCCCGATTAGGCGCCAACGTCCACCAATAAAAATCGAGTTTATGAATGAAGCTGCTAAACCACACTTTAAGGAGAAGTGCCGCACCTGAGCTGGGTGGAGAAGAAGTCTCACGAACCTTTTCATTAAAATTTAAATGCTACAGCCCGCATCATTGCTTCACAAATTGACAGATTCCCTACTTTTGTTCAAATGTAGCTCAAACAGTAAAGCAGTCAAGAGTCTATTCTCCAGGTAAGGAGGACCACCGGGTTGATGTCTGGAATCAATTTGAAGTTATCATTAAATCAAAAATAAGAAACAACCTCAGTTTTAAAAAGTGGCTTATAATGGGTTATTTTAGTTTTAAAAAATACTATAATGTACAAACCCTCATTAAAATAAGTTCTCCCTGCGTAGCCTAACTAGCATCAATCCAAACACCAGTTGTTGCATTTAACCGGAGCACAATGTTGTGATTATGGTTGCAGAAACGTATTTTAACCCTTTGTATAAACTGATCCAATTCAATGTTGTCCGATGTTAACTGTGTTTCTGTGTCCTCTCTGCACACGCCCGACATACTTATTTAATAAAGTAGTTAACAGAAGGTGACGGCCTTGAAGTCCAACGAGGTGATGGCAGAGAGTTTCATCCAAGATGTTTGCATGAGCTAAAATAAGTAATGGCTTAATACTTGTTAAGGCTACATTGATACAGAAAAGGGGATTTCACAACAGTTTATTGATTTTTCTGCCTCTAACACTGACACATAAATGGATTACAAACATCATTTCCTTCCTCTTAAACTCCTGTAACAACATTTACTTCCATACCTATAGATGCCATTGCTCAGCTAGTAGGCTGGCTCCTTGAGCCTGAGGCTACCACAAGCAAAAGAGATTGAGCAGCGGGGGTTAAGTGACATGTAAAGAGAGTGAGCACTGCTATAGAAAACAGTGCAGTGACACAAAGAAGATGTTTTCAGATTTTTTTAACTGCAGTTATGCTCTAAAAATAACTATAGATACTCTGCTCTGCACAAATGTGCTACTAGGGATTAGATTTTGAGTGTACGTAGCCGTCCTATTCTTTATCAGACCTGCTGTCGCACAAGATTTAAATGTTACCCAGGTATTAAAACAGGCATTAATATTGTTGCTACAAGTGACATATTCAAGGTTGAAAATCTGGTATTTGACATGGACATCTTTAAATATTTTTGACTCAGTTTATACAAGTTTTATTCTCAGCTGTGCTTTTAAGTTTTCAGTGAATTATGTAGAGAATTGCTGTGTATTTCACTATGCATATGACCCATTAATCATGGTATATATCACCCAGCCTGCTAACAGTAGTTATACATCATATTGATCTGATATCATATTAAATCATGTTGTGTCATGTTGCTACATTTCATGTCTCAAACAAAACACTATTTACAGAGAACCTAGGTTAAAGCCATTTTTCATTTTATACAAACAAAAACACATTATAAAAAAAAAAACTATTTTATTTTTGTATTTGCCAGTGGATCATCATAGCTGTAGGCATAAAAATATGAGAGACTTGACAGTCCCTTTAATTGGGTTACAAAAGAAACAGTCGAATGTAAGTATCGGCATTGGCAATTGTCTTATATGACATTAGCATAATGAATATTGGCAAAAATCTAATAAAATGCATCCAAATTATAACCTGGTATACCCTGTGAGTGTCCTCCTGGTTAGTGCATGTCTTTTGTGGCAACATATCATGTTCCTGTCACCTTCACATGACACTGAATTGCAGTATGATGACATATAATCAATAGTGTGTCTGTACCATTTGCATATTTGCCAATTTATTTTGATGTATCTAAATGTTGCTTTTTGATCAGGTGTGAATACAATTGTTGATATCATTGATCATTGATCATTAACATCTTGAAATCTCCAGAGCCAATTCAAAAGTAACCCAAAAGGACTGTCATTTCCACAGATATAAAGGGCCTCTTACGTCGCCTCCATAAACTGATGTATCTTGTGATATTATAAAAGACACACTTACAAATGCATAGCTGAATTTAAATGCTTACCAACTTGAAACAATCCATTATCATGGAGAGGATGGGATTAATTCAGCCTCTTGCATCAAGAATTGCTTGATGCCTCAGAAGATAATATGCCATGTAATTCTTTTCACCTACACAGACGCACCAACCATACAGTACATGCTTTGTTTTTTTCAACCCTGATAACGGCTGTTAATTCATCAAGAGTAAATAAAATGTTTAGTTGGGAAGGAACATTAATTATCACATTCATCTGCTTGCTGTTCCCAAACTGGGCTATAATGAAATGTGCTGTAATAGAGATTGCTCTTGGGGAGGCGAGCCGTTTATGAATCGCTAGAGGTGCAGCAGCTGCCTTCCCCCTCGAGAGATAGAAATTTATGCCGTATACCCCGCTGATTGTTGAGAAGGTAAAGAACCAATAGCAGCATGTTCAGAGGTTTAATTTAAAGTGTGTTTCTCACTAGGCTGCTCACAACACTTAATTAAACTCTGCTGTTTTGGCAATGACAAATGCTGTGGTGCAGGAGGAAGCTGGGCTGCTGTGACTGAGAGGCTTTTGTAATTTCTTTCATGTGTAGCGATGGCCAGATCCAGGTCAGAAACTGTAGAATTAAAGAACTAAACAAGATTTAGACACGGGAATGGGAGGGCAAGGGGGTGGGCGGTTACAGTCATTTCCTCCTTAGGAATACATCTATATTAGCCTCTTTTTTTGGTCTCTTCTTTCTCATTTTCAGAAAGTTCTGTCATAGATTTATGAGGGTTGAGTTTCTCTGCCTGGTTTTCCACGCTTATTGCCTTTCACAGTGTCTTTTCCTATGGCTTGTGTCTGCTTGATGGAGACTTCAACATTTTACTGATCGGTATGATGAGTAAAATGAATGGTGGGTTCCTGCACAGCATACTGGTCTTTTTATTCTATAATAGACTGATCTTTCTGTTGTGTCTCTTAGCATGATTCTTGATTTGCCAAACCATTTCACCATAGGAAGCATTAAGTTGGAAATATGCAACTAAGTGTGAAATTTAACTTCAGAGGTCGAGCACAGAAAAACATCAAACTGGGAGCAGCCAACAAACTGACAGGGAGTGACTAATAGCTTTTTCTTTCTGGGTAGAAATCCAATTCATGCCAAACAAAAATCTTATTTTGTTTCTGTAATGGTATGACTGTATTACTGTGCATTTCATGAGATCCATTTAAGAGGTGCAGCCACTCTAGCACACAGTCCCTGCACAGCCCTGCTTGCTGCTGTGTTATGAAGTCGCACAACTCTGGCTATACTACCAGGAAATAACCACAGAGATGCCTGCAAGGCACAAACAGGAGCTGGAGCATTTCATTCAATAATGTAATCCATACTTTTAAGTAAAAGACCTCCATTCTTATGTCCTTTTTTATTACTCGAGTGAGCGGTAGCACACATTATTTTTCTGTCACCTGCCAATCTTTTTGCACAGAGCTGTATCACGGCATATACACAGAGAGCTTTTACTAGCTGTGTAGCCAAGTAAATAATAAGTCACTGTGTTTAATTTGAAAACCATACCAGCTTAAACTTGATTTTAATGTAATATTTCATCATTCATATCCTAGTGCTGTCATAACCAAATGGATTAGATATATTAAAAAAATCATACCTTAAGAACCAGCCTGATAGATATCATGGATTTGCTCTATTTCTAATTTGATAGGAAGGGGCCTTCACATTGTATCAAACCACACTAAAATAGACTGATATACACAAACTGACAGATGAAACTCTCTTTTATTGAGTTAAATATCATAATTATGCCGTCATTCCAGCACAGGTAAGGAAAGAGAAACATTTTGGCTAATCCTGTCTGATATTAGAACAGGCAGGTAATATAACTGACCTTATTTGTGTATAAAAACACATACAGCCATTAAATTAAAAAAAAATAAAATCATTTTGATTCAGGGAAAAATGGTTTTGACCAGTGCTTTGATAGTAAAAAAAAACCAAGGATTATATACGTAAAGAAAAAAATAAGTGTAGTTATCCTGTTTTATATGGGGGATGCAAACAGCTCCATATGTATGTTGGTGTTGTGTAAATGCCAGAGAGACACAGCAGCATCCGTTGGAGTTAACGGTGCAGCACTTTTGTGTTCAGTAGCACAAATCATTAATCATGAGGCCGGCCATATTCTTGTAGTGCCTGTGCTTTCATTACTGGGCCTAATTAAACAGTTCTGTGAACTGGAATCTCAGATTCCTCTGTTACAGATTATCATTAATTATGGTGAAAGTGCTCAGAGATGTTGGACTCAATTATATTCTGCTCAACCCTGGCAGCGGGGTGATTCATTGTTCTGAGCACTCCACAGCCGTACTGTCTCTGCTTATCACCAACCTCCACTTTTGTAAATTGGGCTCTGCCAGCCAACAAACTAAGAATTATGTGCTGCTTTTTCATTACAAACATGTTGGAGGAGCACAGACCAATTAAGGGTGGGATATTTTGTGTGGAGTGATGAGGCAGGCATTGGTGCAGGGAGATGGGGGGTTGGACGGAGGGGGGTAGTATGGGAATGAGCTCAAGTTGTGGCTTTATTACCATATGTGGTGCAGCCCTCCACCAGGTCTACTGACTGATTATGCTCCACATACATCCTCAATATCTCAAAGCCATCACAACTGTAATGGTCAAATTAGAATTTGGACTGAGTATTATGATGAGATTTCTGTGAATGAGCTGTGTATACACGCAGATTTCCAATGTCCCTGGGGAGGGTTTAAATGGAGATTTCTATTGTACCTGCAGCTATGAGGGAAGCGTTCACTTTTCATAATATTTGTGTATGACATGCAACTTTTTATGCAGCTGAACAATGTCAATATTACTTTTATGGTCTTCTGTAGGGTATGTGAGGGTCTGCGACGGAAACAGTGTGTGAATGAGATTATTGGCCACCTTTTTTTAGGGTCAGAGACAAGAGAGGAAAATCTGAATCAAAGGGAGGCAGAAGTTCCACTGGTAAGCTGAGGCCTTAGCAGTTTGCACAATTTCATATGCCACAGTAGGTAGTGATTTTAATATATATGAAAATCAGCCCGAGCTGTGTGCATGTGTCTCTTATAATATCACCGGTGGGAGATTTTCGCTGCCTTACAAAGCAGGACTGTTTACGTTTCCCCTCACTACAGTGTTGTCTCAGTGAGACTCAATAAGATATCTGTCTCTGCTCCATTGCTTTAAAGAATTAACACAAAGTGCAGTCAAAAAGAGACATGGGAGAAGAAAACAAAGAAAAACACAAGATCTCAGAATTAAATTTTATAACAATTTCTTTGTTTCTCTCATAGTTCCTTAAACTACGGTTGGTCTAATCCCATAATTCCCCTGGCAGAGGAGCAAGAAATGGGATTTTTCCTCCAAGTGACATAGCAGCAGCTCATTGAAAATGTAATACACTACTTCCAAGTCACAGGTCAGCTGGCAATCTGAATTTTAAAAGGACTGTGAATAATATTCTGTTTTATTTTGAAAATGAACTTTGTGGCCTCCATCATGAATCCAATATATGTCTTAATCTTCTGGGCTCTTGAAGCCCAAAGCCCGGGAAGAGGGCCTTTGACTCCTGAACCTAATAAGGAAATCACTTGTTTTCTCATCCATCTTCCCATTTTATGGGGGCCGACACAAAACAGTCCTTTATTCCAAAAGCAATTGTTGAAGCATGAAATATATATTATATAACATCAAGGCTTTCTCACACATACAATAATTGTGTTATGCAACTGCTCTGAAGCACAAAAGCAACAAAAGCACAATAAAACACAAAGACTATTTAATATTCAGATGCCTTTCTTTGGGTTTAGTTTACAGTGTATTCTCACAGATGAAAAGATGAACATTGGAGCATCTATTGTTATTCTGAACTGAACACAGCTGACAGTGGCAGTGAATTTAAGCGTTAATTACGCACTAACCTTTTCAGAATGGATATTTAGACACGCTGTGTCCTGCGACTCTGAATGTTCAGGAAATGAAAACATCCAGCGACCAATCAGTATCTGCTCACATTAGCATAGTCTTTTAAAGCCCAATGCCCCAAAACATGCCACGGAAATCCTCTCCTATTTATCTTAAAATAGCCACTTAACTTTGACTGACACTAATTCTTACTACATGAAACTGTAGGAACCCCTTCATTTCCCCTTTCTGTCTCTGTCAGAAAATTACAAAAGACAGAGTTTGTGATGTCCCCAGTGTGCGAATCCCTTTATTCTGTCAGATTACAGCATTTGATATGACGTAGTGCGGCATTCTGGCCTCACATGCCTGCCAGAGACAAGGGACCTGTCAGCAGCAGAGGGGAGCAGTGCAGATCATCACTCTGACTGATCCGCAGACCCGGAGACTGTCATCTCCTCCAACTGTACAAGTCAACACAAATAAAAGTGAGGAAGCAGAAGCCATAATGGCTGGGAGAGATCCAGGCTCATCCTGGCCATTACTTTTATTCAAACCTTACAGATGACATGATGTGAAAAATGAGCCTGTGTCTAGTCGGGTGCCCATTAGTGAGTGAGCACATTATCTCCCCTTTTTCACATTGAATCTCCTCCCTGCATGCAATGGCAGATGCTCCAGAGGAGTCACTCACTTTTATGGGCTTTTGACTGCCGTACTCTTTTAAATACAGGGGCCTGCACCAGGCATAGATGACGTATGGCTGTCAGCGCTCTTTACCTCACTGACAGATGCCTGCAGTGGATTCCTCCCTAAGCCTTCTGTCTCAAACTAAGGGGGACAGCTAACCTCTTCCCTCACAGAGCAGACAAGCATGCATCAAATTGATTATTACAGCAAAGGGGGGTAATTTCTAAAAAAGGAAAAAAAAAATCTCTATTGCCAGGCAATTACAACGCAATTTACTTAAGTACAGTCTAAAGGCCATCACGAAACAAAATTCCCAAAAACCCTTAAAACTGATACCCGTCAGGGAAACTCAAAACTTCATTAAACAGGAAAACGGCTGAAAAGTGACGCACATTATACTGCTAAAAATTCATTTTCGTGAAGTTCTTATCATACAGATATCAAGTCCAAGGCTCTTCCCTCACTCCCCTCCAACAGCTGTTAAAACACCTCCCCCAACTGATGAAGGAAAATCAATCGCTTTGTCCAATCCCTGTGTTCCTGTCACATTGTTGTGGATGGATATGACATGACAAACAAGTGCTGCGCCCTTCATCCAGAGTGTGAATATGACATCCCATAAAAACACCTAACATTGAGGCCTGAGAACTGCAGTTTTAACACCCTCACAACACCCAGACTCTCTGCTTGGCACAATGTGGAGTAAATGATGCAACCCAAACTTGCCAGCCACAAGGAGGCACTGACTACCAAGGGTGGGAGAAAAAATCGATACAGCATAGTATCGCAATATTTTGTCCGGTGATATATCGTATCGTCTCATCCACCAAGTATTGATTTTTTCAAATTAATTGCTAATATGAAGTCAAATCTATGATAATGGAAAAATAAATATCAACTGTTTGTCCAGTGAGGTTGATTCACTGGTTAGTACAACAAACATATGGTTTGTAGGATGTGCTACATGAAAATGAAATACAGTGTAAATAAGACAAACATAAAGGAAAGACAAATGCTAAATTAGCTGAACAGTTGAAAAAATTGTATGAATCACAATATATTGTATCACAATACTCAATGTATTGCAAAATGTAAAAAAAACGTAATAACATTGTATCCTGGCCGAAGAATGGTGATAATATTGTATTGTGGGGCCACTAGTGATTCCCACCCCTACTAACTACCTAGGAAAACCCGGACTGATTCAGATATGGATTCTGACACTAATATAATAATAGAACAGATACTGCAGGATGTCCATTTAAACCCCTGATTTTTATCTTGATTGATGGAATAAAGGCTTAAAACAACAGAGACAAAACACTGAATACAAACTAATGTAAACACATCTGTTGTTTTAGGTTGAGTCAAACAAAAATATGAAAAAAAAAAATCAAAGATAACTGACATATAACGGAGACATGTATTTAAAATAACCTCTTTTCCCTACAGTCAGAAATGCACCAGCGACTGTACGCGACGGGAGACAAATATTCAAGTATAGAAACCCCAGAGGGAGGCCGAGCCTCTTTGAAAATAGTATACATTTTATTCCACAAAGGGAAATAAATCTGGATTCAGTATTACAGAGCAAAGCTCAGAGGTTGTGGTCAGTGACAGGGAGTCCCGACTTCTTTCAAGCAGCAGTATGAACCAGAGCTGCTTGGTTCAATCTAATCTCTGACAAGAAACAACAAGCCTTTGGGACACCCCTGCGGCCCACCTCTACGCCGAACAACATCATAAGCAGATCCACTCAGGGGGTAAGATCTACTGTAGCTGTCAGGGGAGAAATATGTTTCCATTTTACAACTTCAGTGGCAGTGAAGACCATACAAATGCTCCTCTATTTCCCTCACTATTGCTCATTCGTTTGAATCTTTCTGCTCTCTCTTCTGCTCCTGTCAGTTTTCCCTCAGTACACACACTCAAAGGGTTCCCTGGTGACTGCGTCCCATTACTATCCTGAGACTGCTGCACAACAGAGCTGAGCCGCCAGTGTCTATAGTGATACCACTCAAGAGTCCCTCAGTGCCAATGTCAAGCTGTGTGCACGACAAACAAGGTGCAGAAGTCAGAATACTTTGAGTTCAACCTCTTCACTTCTGTCTTTCAAAAGTGGAAGGTTTGGCACTTTATTTTAGGTCGTTTAAAAAAGTTATCTCAGGCACGAGATTCGGTTCTGGTTCCAAGCATTAACTGGACAAAAGACTTAGAAATATTACATCTGTGCAGAAAAAATCTGTAAAAATGAGAATTCAGGAAAGAAGTAAGAAATTTCAAGAAGTAGAGAGGACTACAGGATGACTCAAGGTATGACAGGATACAGTTGAGTTCAATACGCTTCAATAAAACACATTTTGGTGTGATACTGCATGATATGGGAAACAATATCACATAATACCATGGGAGACAAGACAAACCAGGCCAGGAAATGTCTTACGATACAGTACAACATGATACAATAAAATACAATACGATTCGATATGATTCGATACGATACGATACAATATGATTCAATACGATTCAATACGATTTGATATGATACAATTCGATACGATACAATACGTTGTGATACAATACAATACAATATGATACGATGATCCTGATATGACTGAATAGTACGTTACAATTCAGTATAATATGATATGAAACATAATGAGATTCAAATAAAAATATATTAAAGTATATCACTATATTAGGTTAATGTGAGACTACAACGTTACCCAAAATACGTAAGAGGGCTGGATTCATGTAATTAACTTTATCAGGAGGGGAAATCAATAACTGATGCGGTGAGTCATATTGGAGGGGTAAACTGATGAGAGCTGTATTATTTCAATCAATATATTGGTATTTGGCAGCAGTTATTCAATGATTGTTTGCACATATCAGAACAACAACAACATAGTGCTATACTGATGTTCTGTCCCCAACCTTTAATGAAGTTTATCCACCAGATACACTTGTCCTTGTTTAAACACTTGAACTGAGCAGTAATTTGATAAAATATTAAAAAGAGTAATATCAACTGAGTGGTATTTTGAAACTGCATTACAATCAGAAATCCACAAGCAGACAAGCATGTAAAAACAACATTTACACAAAGTCGACAAATGAAATGTGTAGTAAACAATGATGAATCTAACTCAGCTACACACAGAAGCTTTTGGAGCTGTTAATGTTTGATGACATCAAGGCAATGTTCAAGTATACTCAGTGACTTGTATAGTGAAAGGTTGGAGAGAAGCACTGTTCACATGATCCCATCTTTGTTACAACCTGCCTGCACTGTCAGTGTTTATCCAAACACACCAAGTTCCTCTAATTCTACAAGGATCTCAGGCGTGGTTGTGCTAATCACCTGACACACCTGATTTTCCAATTCATTTTCTCCATTCATCTTGAGCAAATGTAGCGACAGCTTGCAATCTGTTTGTTTTGACTTGTCAAAAAGGAACCAAAGGCATGTAGCAACATGGAATAAATGCTACTGCAAGATGTCACCAGCTGCACATGGTATGATGAATTACAATCATATGTTAATCAGGCCGAGTTGCAGTAATGGGATGCTTACGTGGCGTTCCAGCACAAACCTCTTTGGTATGTTTGTTTTTATATACAGAAACAGACTCTTGAACAGACAGGAGTACTACGCTGTTTGAAATACTAATGAGCAGATTCAAGTTTTTCTTATTCTCTAAGTTTGTTTCCTTGCAGCAGGGAGCTCACTAAAAATGCATTTATGAAATAAGAGCTGCCTTCAATGAAAAATTAGCTGAGTTTGTTCATGCATTTATAATTACTTTGTTCAAAGCTGCCTGTCTTTTGTTGTTGTTTTTGTTGTTATTTCACATTTTTGTCAGACAAGTGCAACTAGGACTGCATGAAAATATTGAAAACCTAATATCATCACTGACTGTATTTATCTGGCTAGCATGCAAAATCATGTAACGCATGTGTGTTAATGTTAGGGATGCTCCGATATTGACAAATTCACTGGATCTGATATCTGATGAATAACACCGATCCAGCGTTCCAATCTAGACTTTTTTTCTTTTAATTAATTTTTCTTTTAATACTTGAAAGTCTCTTTTCTTTTTGCTGTGCAATTTGTTATTTGTTAATAAATAATGTTAAGTAAATTTACATAAGTGTTGATTTGTTACCTTTTTTTAACGAGGCTAATGTCCAGCCTGATGCCTTAAACTCATAGGGTAAGGTATACAGTTCATTCATTCAACAGTAGTATTGGATCGGTATCGGACATCTGCCGATACGCACAGCCCAGGCATCAGTATCGGATTGGATCAGAAAAAAATTAATGGGTGCATCTCTAATGATCGTGTGTTGGTTTTGTTGTTAAAATCTGACAAATTAGCCGACACTGTGGGTCCAGCAACAAGGTCAACACTAGCATACTTGGCACCTTTTTCCCAATGACGGGAAGTGTGTCACTAATTTACTGTTGTTTTCCTCTTCTAAATGCTGGTAAATGACGAGCTATTACTAACACAATCATTTAGATAGAAAGGATAAAATTAAGATAAACAGTATTCATGGTGAGAGGCATTTTTTACAGATTTAGCTAGAACTAAGCAAATATAAAATCAGAACCCGTTTCATCACAGAACTCTGTCAAGTATCATGAGGAAGTATCGAAGGGAAGTGTCCTGACAGCTTAAACTAAAAGTCATTACCAGTCCTGTCGTTTCCCAGTGAGCAGTGGTCAAATTTAGGACAAACACAAACATGGTGCTGTTACCAACCCAACTTCATCTCCAGCACAAAACATATTAAAGTAGGAGAAAATAACAAAGGTATGTGAAGTTTCCTAAGTCTTAGCTGCCTGCTGCTCAATAAAAATAGTTCTACTCTCATGGGAGATTCATTCAATAAGTGAAACTGCAAACAAGGTAATATTTTTTTTATGAAAATAGAAATGATGTTATCAGTAAAACAATTATTACAGTATATGAGATATGTGCAGCCACGCTACTATGCGTAAATAAATGAGAAGCAAGAGTAAACAGAAACATCAAAAGCACAGACACAGTTATAAACAAGGCTACAACGAAATTGCTTCCAAACTCCATGGGCACGATATGCGATTTAAAAGAGCCTGGCAGTGGCAATATTCCTCTGATATGGTGTTTAGTTTTAATAGGAACCCTCAGCTCAAATATGAGCTGACAAACACAGCAAGACAAACACAGTCTCTCTCCGGCAATGAAATATACACTATCAAATAGACCTGTACCTTTTTGAATCCACTGTGTGGGTGAAACTAAAGCGCAGAACAAACAGCATTCTGATATGGCTTTGAGGGTGATAACAGCGTCTGACAGGGTGGAGAGAGCAGGCTTTGGGCTCAGTGCGAAAACACAACCTGTGATTGACATGATTCCCTGGCCTTAGAGAAGTTTACCTTTTAATAAGAGCTCAGAGAGCCCCTCTCAACAAGACGGTCCGGGCTCCCGCCGACAGCTGGGAGCGGCTGGGGAAGTGTGTGTGCATGTGTAAATGTGCACATGAGGGCTGTTTGTGTGTGTGCGTGCATGCACACCTGTGTGTAATCGGTTGTATGTGTGTGTGCTTGTGCACGTGTGTCTGTGCCCACTTGTAGCAGATTTCAATCAAGGATTTCAGCCGTGCCCAAATATCTCTTCTCTTTTGGGCCAGGTTGTTTGAAGAAAATGAGTGGATTCAGGATCAAGAGCCTTTCTGGAGGAATTTAAGTCTGTTTGAGGATTATGACTTCTTCATCCTGTACAAAGCCTGCAGACGCTGCTATATGCTAGCCCTTGGAGGCCTGGCTTACCAATGCATTCCAGACGTCGATAGGGAAGTGATAAAACCCAGGAAAGACATCACAGTTTTGTGCACAAATCTTCAAAATGATAGTGGATAGAAACTTTCTAGTGAAACTCTGAGGGAGCAGTTTTATAACACTAGAACACGCACAATCAAAAGAGCATTATGCATTTGCAAAAAGAAGACATAAAAGTGAAGAAAATCTTACTTTCTAACCTAACTGTGAAATCCTTCAAACATTTCTCTGCATCTTTTTCATAGTTTCTCCTCAGTTTTTATTTCTTGCTTGGGTTCATCTCTCTGGACTGAACTGCAGTAAAAGCCCCGCCTCCTTTCATCTCACTTATAAATTATAATTAGCAAACTAACACATCCCATGCCAGCTCTGATCATTGTCTTCAGGTGTCAGACAGCCCCTTCGCAGCATCGACAACATGCCTAATCTGTTTCTGAGAGATGTCACAGCCTGAATGACTGTCATAGTCCCTCTCCAAAAACTGTCATTAGTTACACAGCTGATGAGGGGACTTTGTCGGCAACATAGTCAGCTACGCGTGGATCATCTCTGAAGGGAGCTCTGATCAAATCTGTCATTATTTGCGCTGTTTACAGCATAACCTGAAAGCAAAACAAGAAATCGATGGAAAATGGGGACAAATTACTGTAAGTGTCAATATTCACGACAGCTGAGATAAAGGGCGCTCAGCCTGTAATAGATTCTTTCCATTTACCTTAAGCTTATTGAGCAGTGCGCTCGCCAATCGCCGATAAGACCATTAGTTTGTTGTTGATAAAACTATTTAGTATCATTATAACTTTAGATGTAACAAATGGAGTTTGTTCAACAGAGAAGTCCACATTCAGCAAATAAAAATGACGTTTTTTTTACACCAATTTCTCTTAAATAAATATAAGTTTAAATTCTGAAGCCTACATCCTTTATACGAGTTATATTCAGGGTTCCTACACAGTTGGAATTTCCATACTTTTCCATACCCTACGTTTTTGAATTATTTTTGGAAATACCTACTTTTCTGTTTTAGAAAACAGTATTTCAGAACTGTGGCAACAGTCTGGAAACAAATATTTTCCATACTTTATTTTTCATTTTCCATACTTTAAAGACCTGGAAATTGATAAAACTTATTTCCATATGTCCCATACTTGCGTAGGAACCCTGAATATTCAGCAAAATCAGCAAATGATGCAGACTTTGAAAGCAAAAACTATGAATGACGCCATGGACGAATCAGCTTTCAACTCCAAAAAGTAAGCCAAAAGACGAGAAATGATGGTCAGACACCCGCAGCAAAGAATCATAGATTCTTCACTCATACTTTTGTGACATTAGGAGGACCTAAAAACTACAAAAAGAGACCAGAAGTCTGGTAATATTCTTACTTATTAAAGTCAAAAAGGCACAAACTGATCTCCCAAAAGTGTGAGTCTCTTGAGAAGCTTTGTTGAGAAGGTTACTAGACTTGGTTTGACCCTGGAGCAGTATGACTCTCAGAGCTGTACTTCACACTTAAATCTTTTGTTCTTGATCAAGTGCACCCAGCTCCATACAAAATGCAGTCAAACAGACCGAGCGAGGCGAAAGGAAGCCATGAACGGCGAGCGAGCAGGAGAGAGAGGAAGTCGCATCTCCTACAGACAGTCACAGCGGGGGACGGACTAACTATAGCCACATCAATGACTAACTCTCACAGCACGGACACCTCCCTTCACTTTGAAAAGAAAATAAATTAAACAACAAAGGGGGACACTGACATTCACCGCCTTTCAGTTTATTGCACCAAATACAGCTGGTCGTACGTCCAGCGCAGGATCACTGTGGAGTTCAGCTGACAGTAAGACAACAACGAAAATGAAAAAGCATTTTCAGGACAAAGTTTCCTTCCCGCCAGGGGACGATGATTGCTGTATGGATTATAGATGAAGCCAAAAAAACAAAAGGCCCCTCATCTGCTGGCCTAATATGGTCATTCCAACACAGGAGGAGACCCATCTTTGTACTTCCTCATGCATTACATACACAATCAATAATGGAAAAATATACACTGCGAAAGGCCTTAGTCGCACTGCCTACAAGCGGCATTGATAAATGATTTTGTGCCAGTTATGACAGCAAGGTGCATGCAGTGAAGAGAGTGGAAGGCCTTTTTAATAGTGCAAGGAGAGAATTAAATCAAACCCAGGAGGGCCTCCTCTGGAAAGGAGAGATGCTGCATCTCTCTGCTCTAAATCACAGCTCTACTTAAGCCCAGCCCTCTCTTTCCCCATTTTTCTACATTATCAGAGGAAACCTGTCACTGCTGTCTATGGGAAAGTTTACAAATCATGATTTATCAGAGAGAGGATCTCTAAACACCTGTGTGAGAAAATAAGCATCCCCTGCATTATTATTTATAGGCCAAAAAGTTCTTTCAGACCTCCTGTAAAGTTCGGAAAGAATCTTAAACAATGTGCATGCTTTTTTCAGAGTATTTCCTTTTGTGGGCACTAGAGCATTTGTGTTTGGTTTAATTTTCTAACATTAAAAATCGGACTGGAATATGCTGATGATATAAAGTGTAATTGCTGTTTTCTTCTCTGTCTAAAGTGTACCTATGTAGTTCACATGCAAACTGTGTGCTCTTTCAAGTTCTCGGTGTGAAACCCTGTAGAAGCTCATTATTATCCCAGGGAGGGCAAAATATAAAAGGGGGCTTAAAAAGGAGTGAAAAGTTTCCAAAGGTCAAAAATTAATCAAACTCATTACCTGAAGAAGAGAAGGATTCTGGTTGCTGCTAACTCGTTTAGCAGATTTTTAACCTCTATTTTCTTTTCAAAGAGGCAGAGATTCCCAAAGGAGCAGACGTCCATGACTTCTCATCTTCACCAGACAGGTGAACTGTAATGATCCCCTTAGGCCTGCTTCTAAAGACACAAACATCAGAAACTACAAAATCGTCTCACAATCATACCGTTTATTCAAATCTTTGACTTCTAGCAAACAGAATGCTAAACAACAACAACAACCCAGTTTTTGAGGCACAATGTGCAGCAAAAACAAGCAAAGCCACACCAGCTGGGGAGAGAAAATCCGTCTTACTGGCCACCAAGGCCAGTTGCCACCAGTTTATCCAGTAAACCCTGCAGAAGAAAGCGACAGAGCCAAAGCCGTATAAGGGGGAAGAAGTGAGCTCGGGTGATGGGCTCTCAGTTCAATGCCTGCTCTCTGTGCAATACACAACTTTCTCCATGCAGGAGGAAATACAAAACAAGGGTTTATGGCAGATGGTGGAAACCTGGAGCAGAACAAGGTTTTCTATGCATTTAGAAAATTTATATCAATATATTAACTCTGAAATAAAAAGGCTCTAAAATAGGCAAGAAAATATAATGCTCTGTACAATTAACGATTACACCGATTAATACATTAATAGGAAAATGCTCATTCTGCATCTGTTTTATCATCAGCTCTATTTTTATTGCATAGAGTGTTTATCTGAATAAAAGGATGTTGAAATTAATTAATTCTAAAATCAGGATCAGTGTAAATTGTTTTCTCACAGGGAAAATGATAGGAGACATCATTTAGGGTAATTTCTCACGCCTAAATAGTCAAGAGCCTAATTTGAGCTGATTTGGGTTGTTAGGTTTATGGCCTTGAGCTGCCCAAAGTTTGACGGTAAAAATTTTGACTTGTCACAAGAAACATTGAGACACCACTCAGTCCCCGTATGAGCTTTCAACAAAAATCATCCGCCTCTCTCTTAACCCATGCACAGATTTAAACATTTAAAACATTTTTTTAATGCTTTCTCTATTGATGAAAATAATCTAGACGGTCAGCAAAATACTAAAAATGTATTATACAGTTCAAATAAGAATAATAAAAACAATAGCTCTAGATGGAAAATAACTCATAATATTAAAAGCTTTAAAATAAATGTGTTTGTTTTGAGCCTTGTTTTTTCCCACAAAAAAAAAAAAAACATGAAAAAAAAAGAAGAAAAGCGTTAATGCTCTAAGGGAAGTCCAGGCTGTAAATGTGCACAATATTCCACATTATATACATGTCATTTCAGAGTGCACTCCAAGTGACGCAGTGTCAAATCTGTGTGACAGATTTAGGTGAATGCTGGTGAAGGGAACCCTGCGTGGGGAGAGCGGCTCAGGGCTGACTCAAGCAGCCAGTACAAGATCTCCAGCAGGCAGAAAGGAGCCCTGCTCACCACGGAGCTGCTGCTTGTCCAGCCCACCCAACACTGACAGCCAAAAAATAACCTGACACCATTGCCATCTTCTGACTGCAGTCTCACATGACTCCTTGTGCCAGCTTTGCAATCCAGAACTTCACACTAAGTAAGGAGGCAATGCATTGACAAGAACACAAACAAGTGAGTTTTTTAGTAAATGATAAGTAGATGGCAGCGGTCTGATTTATTTAGCAATTTTTTTTTTTTTAAATAATAAAAATAATGGATGAACTAAAATCTGCAGACAGATTTATTCTGCAAATTAAATGGTTTGAAGAGAGGGACATGGAGAAAACAGAGCCACAAAATCAGACTGCAGAATAGGTGGAGGTTTTATTTGAGGAGCCCGTGTTTGTCCTTATTTTTAACGTAATGTCACCCTCTTTTGGTAGCTTGTAGAAAGAATAAAGGACATAAATTCCCTGGTAACAAGCAACAATCAGCTTCACCTTGTGCTGAATTTAAAAACAAAACAAGTTTGATAATGGCCTATATTTACCATACATTACTTTAAAAACTTTCACCTGATTTTTCCTAATTTAAAGGGTAATCCAGGTCTTTTATCACAGATCCAGGTGTGTGCAGCGAAAACTAGACTTATTCAGTTCAAACTTTTGTATCATTGCACCACAGAGAAATTTAAATGCAAGACAAGATAAGGGGTCATTCTTTTGCTTACCTATGATCATATTTTTTGACTCAAGTTAAAGATATGAAACAACATTAGTGCCAGAAAACTCAATCTTAAATGTGAGAGCCTACTGACATCTAGTGTACAAAATTTAGAGTGCTACCAGAGCAGCAAAGAGCAGCTGTAGTGAGGTGTACTGAACAGACAATGCATGACTCAATCCCTCATAAAGACTATTGTCATGGACAGAAAAACTGAAATGTTGTTTATGATTGATATGTTATTTTTTGGTTTACAAAATTAGATCTAAATACTCAAAACAGTGCTCTATAACATCTATTCAGTACCATCTGAGCTTCAGTCTGAGTTGAAGTATTATATAAGAAATGTGTTTTAGTCTTACAGGTGAGACAGCAGAGAAACAGCTTTGCTGTGAGGATCATAGAACTCGTAGATAAGAGTTATTCATAAAATATACTGCCTTACTTTGATTTTACACCTTACCCCTGAGTATCTAATTAAGCATGCATATAAATATTTGTGTATTTTTATTCTATTGTATTCTTCTTAGTAGTTTACTGCGTGTTATTTTTACCTTCTTGGGTCAAGCGGTTCTTCTCATCCAGGGCATTTCATTGCATTGTTGACGATGTTTAACCTGCATACGGCAAACAAACCAATCTTGAATATTGAAAAAGAAAAAGAACTAAGGAAGGTAAATCTGGACTTTTATATGTGATATTCTTAAAGATTTTGTTGGAGCGCATGTGTTTTCTATATCCTACCAATAACTATTTAATTTGTGTGTAAAACTACCATTGTCCTGAATGTGAATACATATCCTGTCAGCAGAATAAAAGTCTGCAATTAAGGTTCAATAATAACCATTAGGGCTAATTTCATTTTTTATTTCTAAATTAAACAATACTGATAGTTGCATTTGTGACCAAATATGATGGTAAAGCCATATATGACCAGAAAGATAAATGATTGAGCCTACAGATGAAATTAAAACAAATGGTTAAATAACCCTGTTAATCAGAGGTATGCAGTTCTAAATGCCAAGCTTAAACCGTTTAGCACGAGGTTTCTTCACTGTAACAGAGATTTTAACACCACCATTGCTAGAGCATTTACAGAAAAAAAACAAGCCTGCTTTAAAATGGAGACATTTGAGGTAGGGGTGTAGCCTTCATTTCAAAAGTTAGGGGGACTGATTGTTCAGGAGCAAGATTACAGGCCAGAACAGTGCAGAAGGGGCGGATACTGGGCGTCCGCTACGCCCATGATTTGATGTGACATCTCACAGCCTTGCAAAGCTGAGGGTTGTGCAGATTCCATATCCGTCACCAGGTAAACTCATCTTTCAAAGATTCAAAGGACCGAACCAATCAGTGTCATTTGAAGAGACAGAGGCGATAGCTACAGGTGAATTTAGCTGTTGTTGCAAGAAGTGGCTGCAAGCTTGTTAGAGCCCGATGTGTAACAATGATCTACAGCAACCTGGAGTGTAATAAAATAAAAGTTAATAAAATCTGAAATGTAATAAGTGACCCAAAATGTCACATAATGCTGAGCCCCAAACGTAATAACTTCTTACCCAAAATGTAAGAATTCGTAACATTTTTGGTCAGTTATTACATTTGGGTGTTATTACTTTTTCTTTTTTACTCAATTCAGGTGGTTTTTACATATCGGGCTGTAATGTGGCCTGTGGAGATAGTGGCATGGATGCAGTCATAGCCACAGTTTTATCAGAGCTGAGAAAATATATCAGAGGTGTGTTGTGAAAACTTTAGAGGACTTGCTGTTGACGAGCTCATGCAAAAGGATGTGTAGTAAAAATAAAGTTGCATAATTCAGAGTAATTCAAGGTCTTTGGTCTGAAATTTAGTTGAAACCATAGACTGTATGGACAATTTGGTTGTGCCTCCTGCCAGTATGCGGATTTGTGGCCGAAAAGCTATTGGTATTTATTTATTGGTATATTATAGCGTTGTATGCACTCCACCACTTGCGAAGTAGCATTGTATGCATTCGGTGGGAGAGTCGCTGTGATGACGCTCGGCTCAAACAGTGTATCCCCGGGGTGAGATATGCAATCTTCGTACGTCTTTAGGCTGTATCAAGTGTCAATCATAGAAAATATGAACTCCCTAATAACTTTTAAAAATGGAGCTGTACAGAAAAAAAGAGGACTTGAGCACAAACCAGTCTTACAGTAACTACATGTCAACATCGCAACCAGGGGGGGAGAAAAAATTATATTCTGTGTAATTAAATCATAAAATTTGTCCACAGCGCCATAGGGATTGATGAGAAGGCAGGATTTATGACCTATACTGCAGCCCGTCACCAGAGGGTGCTGTTCTCAAGTTGGCTTCACCCAGCGAGGAGGCAGACATTGTCCATTCTATACACAGTCTATGGTTGAACCTATCAGCTTACATAGTGCCTGTTGAGTGCAGGTTATGTAGTTCACTTCCTGGCAGTGAACACATACTACATCATATGTATTGTTGCTTTGATTGGACCCTATTTACTGTGATAGAAAATTCAATCAATCAATCAGCCTCAAACTTTTCTTTTGAAAGGTTCTGTCCCTCCCACACACTGTCTGTGGGGTGTTGGCCCAAAGGATATTAAACCTTTCCATGCTCAATCTATCTATGTGAAACAGTCTACCTGGCGAATCAGGTTAATAATGATAATAATAGTAGCAGTCAGACAGAAGAAATATCTATTCTAAGATCTAAGTGTCTCAGCCTCAAGATGTCTCCTGAGCAAAAGGCAAAACAGACTTTCAAAAGCTACATTGCTGACAAGATCTACAAGACACAAGTGAAGGAACTTAGCAGCACAAGTCGTGAACTTCAAGACAGCAACAAAGTCAAACAACAAAAAAAAAGTCTTAATAGGTTTTCATGGGCTACTAAGTTTTCAGATCAATTTCAAGGTTGCAGTGAGTAAAAGTATTAAGATAAGATCAGCTTCAGGAAGGGATGGGGATGGATACCCGAGTAGTTGAGTACTTGTTATCATTACTACTCAAGTATTGTTACAACACTCCTGCATGTGTGTTATTCTAGGTTAGAGTACCACAACTCAGTAAGCTTTATACATGCACCATGTCAGCCATGTCCAGAAATAGTGATATGTGGAAGTATTTTTACATTGAGGACAATGATAACACTAGGGGTGGGAATCACCAGTGGCCCCACTATACGATATTATCGCGATACTTGGGCCACGATACGATATTATTGCAATTTTTAACATTTTGCAATACAGTGAGTATTGCGATACCATATATTTATACTATTTATTTATTTATTTATTTATACAATCAGTGGTTTAGCTTTTGTCTTTCCTTTACTATTGTCTGATTCACACAGTATTTTATTTTCATGTAGCACATCTTGCAAACCTTAGTCATTTACTTGTATCCCTAATGTCTTTCCCCAGGTGCTGCTATATTTGTTGCACTAACTTTCTCCTGTTCTATGATGTCACCTCTGCCAACCTCACTGGACAAACAGTTGATTTTATTTTTCCATTAATATAGATTTGACTTCAAATTAGCAATTAATTTGAAAAATATCAATCCTTGGTACATGAGATGATATGATATATCACCAGACAAAATATCGCAATACTATGCTGTATCAATTTTTTCTCCCACCCCTAAATAAAACACTGTGCAAGATGTGCGGTGTTAAACCTATATATCATAGAAATACTAGTTTGATGCTCAACTACATGCACTTAAAGCTGGTGAAGGAGAAGATTAGCCTGCTAGTAACAAAAATAGTGACTGGAGACATGCTCCCATTAGGTTTGGTGAAAGGGGAAGGCTCCTGTGAGCTGAAGTACAAGCCACCATCACTTTGGACAACATCATCAAGAGTTGAAGCATGTTTGAGGAAAGTGCAGCAGAATTGAGGACTGTTTTGCAAAGTGGTTGTCATCACAGATGCATGGACAGGTCTCACTATGGAGAAGTATATTACCATCACTTATTTCATTCACATTTGGGAATTGAAGACTGCTGTCCTTCAGACACACAGTTCAGATGAACGGCATACCAGGAAAATTTAGCTGACTGGTAAAAAATGCTTTTTGTGGGAAAATCTACCCCACTTCATGAGGAGTATGTGGGTTTCAGGTCATAAATTAAGAAAGGCCCTCAAAGATCTGGGTGAGGAGGCAGAACAGGGGAGTTTCTGGCTTTGGCTAAGGAGGAAGGATCAGGCTTGATGCAACATTGTCATGTCACATCTATCTTTATACTGTTCATTTTCTCTGGTCTGTTCTGTCAGGCAGTTTGTTACATTCCTTCAAAATTGCCTCAATTTTGGTCTGTGTTCACACAAAGACTTTCACATTTAGACCACAACATATGAAGCTTGTTACCAATACTCTCTAATCGGTCAGGATTTCTGGCCGTTAATGAATAACACGGACAGGGAATACGAGCATGCAACCTTTCAAGTTTGACCTGAGATAAAATACATCAAATACATAAGTCAGGGTCACATTTTAAATCACACTACTTCCACAAGCTCTTTGGTTTGTCAAAGTAACCTTGATTTCAAATTAACAATAAAACACATAATAGATCATTAAGAATGACTGATATTTACTGCTAGTTTAAGCAGCAAAACAAATATTTTGAATTATCCGAATATGAATGTTTGGGGAAAATAGTTAATACTTTTACCATAATGTTAATCCCAATTTACTGTCTCCTTTTTTGTGTTTTCTTCTTAAAAAATGATAAATTTGTTCAGCTTTTATCCACCATCATCCGTGATCTGCCAATGCAGCAAAATCACACAAAGAGGAAACTTACACTACAACACGATAGCATTAAAAATTACACTGTGTACAAACAGCTGCATTAAAATAACAGAAGATGACAATAAACCCAAACATCCAAAAACGACTGCTTTGTTGAGGAGAGGGACAAAATGCGTATGCTCCAACAACATCACATTATCACTCTATTTTATCATGGCCATTCAATCTCACATTGACAATATTATCAAAATACTTTTGGGAAACTGGAAGACACATGGACCATGTTTACAAAGCACTTTCTCCAGTATTCTGACGACCCTAAGCACTAATCACATGTCACATTCACTCATGCACACACTGATAGCAGAGGCTGCTATGGATAGAGTCCATTAGTTTTTGACTAATTTATTCACACACCACTGGGCACAGCCAGTGAGGGTGAATGGGGTCAAGTGTCCTGACCAAGGGCACTTTGGCATGTGGACAGCCCTGGGATGGTTCCTCTGACCTTCTGATTTAGAAACGACTGACTACCACTGAGCCACAGCCACCCCTCCAAAAACCAACACATTCATTAAATTGAGGTAAGGCAAAACAGGGGTGGGACTACACATTACTTCACAAACTTCACCAATGAACACAAGAGACTTTCATTTCGTAATCCATTTCAAATGATGTCCAAGTTTGTGATTTAGCAATAAAACCAACCCTTTGACTGTTCTATGGAGAAGACATTAACTTAAAAACAACCGTTTGTCACATTTTTGTTTTGTTTTTTTCTCATCTTGTGTTTAGGTAGCTTCTTCCCTCATATCAAAATGAAGCTTGTATTTTGAAGTATACCCTAGTTAGTTGCGGATAAGAGTTAAAAAAACAGACGGAGAGTATGAATGTAGAGTATGAATGTTGAATTGGTTTGTGAACCGAAGAGACACAAGCTCTGACGTTGTTGCTTAGTAAGTGAGACAAAGTTGTTCCACGTCTGATCCCCCACCATCAGTGGTAAAAGAGGTGGAATAAGGGGGATGCCAATGAGTAGCACCAGGAATTGTAGCACCAAGCAATGCCTTGTGTTTCTGAAGTGTGTGTAACTAAATCCATGGATTGAAAGTAGTTATTTAACTGGGAATGATACCTTGGTGTATGGCTTTCACACCAGCTCAAATTAAATGCACTAACTTGGCAGTTTTAATCAAACCAGACAAACAAGGTGTAGTATCCTCAGTCAACTAGTTTGCAACACAGAGCCAGGCCAAAGGCTGAATGAGCACTCAGAGGCCAGTGGCCACCCAACTATTGAGAGGAGATGTAGGGGAGAGAAGATAGTATGTGCTACTAGCTAAAATGTAAATTGATCTTTTCAAAAAAAAAAGTTTTTTCCAAAGATCTTTTTTTGAAATTAGGGTTCTTTGAAGTTTTTATGAATTGTAAGTGTATTACCCACAGGGGATGCTGAGAACTGAGATGGGAGGTAGGCTATGAACTGCTGCAGACAGGGTCAAATGTATTCATAAAGTCCAACCCAAACATTGATTTCAGTTCACCACTGCACTCAGATATCAGAAAGCCACTTTGTTTTTGCACTATTTGTGGATGCAACACAGACATGTACCTCCCCATGCAGAACAATGACTGGAGACAAAAAATACAACCACACTAAAACAGTAGTGAGCAGCACAGCAATCAAGATCCCCTTACTCATGACAAATACCTTATACCACCAGCCTTACAAAAAACCACACCATCCTTTTAAAACATAAACACTTTTCAACTATTGACTCAAACTGAAAATTACAAGCAAGACACTCTCCTGGAAAGAGTGGAAAACACTCTGCTATCTGCAAACTCTTTATTTTTTTAACCTATCTTTTGGCTAATACCAAACAAGTAGTTGGGCTTCTTTTTAACCTGGTGGTTGATATAAAATCACAGCGTAATCTGTTAACACCTGCTGGAATAAACCACAAAGCAGCTGATGTGACTTACTAGCTACATGGAAACAGCCTCAAGATACTGGAAAAGTTCGTCTTTTCACAATCCCCTGAGAGGACAGTAAATTCAAGCAAGCTGTATAAATGCTCAGGTAATGTCCTGATCCCCAAAATTATAGCATTTGGTGTTTAAACATAATAGCAGAGGGGAAAGTGCTTAGGTTGTGATTTTCCTAAACAAACATAATCTTTGGAAGTCACACAATTTTAAGTTTTGCTTTACTTTTGGTTGAACACAACTTTGGAAATTAAGCTGTTCGAGTTTCTGATGCAAGATATGTAGTTGCTGATAGTGGAACTAGAAATCTTGACTAATCTCAACTAAAGAAATTACTTAACTCATAAAGATGACTGGTTTGGTCAGCCTAAAAAGAGAGAAAGAGAAAGACAGGTTTTACCAAAGTGAAATTAATTATTGCTGCCCGTTTTTCGGAAAAAAAAAAAAAAAACATTTGAACACATTTTTGCATTGTTCAGGCTCAAGCAAAGCTACCTGATCAAAAAAAAAAAAAACAATTACCATAATAAGCTCTTTCAGAACACATCTTTCAGCAAACACACCAACCAACCATAAAGTTATGAACACCTGGGCAATCTAATCCAACCCAATACAAACGCTCTTCCTCAACTTTTACTTTTAGGAAGCTTCTGAGTGTTTAATTTTTCATGACATGATCAGAAATGCACTCCAGTACATCAACCCACTTCTACTGCACCTCCAACAATTACATGCACGTTAATCAAATTAAATCAACCTGTAAATGTAGTTTCGAAGTGGCTCAACAGTTAGCCAACGCATTGCTGTGTCCTTTCACCTGTTCGCGTAATTTACCGAGCTACCTGATGACCAAAGTCCTTTTAAACTGTCAGCATCAAGCCAAGCAATCAAACATCTTTATAAACACTGAACAAACACGTCGTTTGGCGATACTTACCTTGGAGCATGATTTTCCTGTTCAATCTTCTGAAGTGCTTGGATCAGCAAACCGTTTATTCCTCGTAATAATCACAGGCGCCCGACCGGTTGGCTGAATGGTTGAAACGTGTCGTTTGAATTTCGAGTCCGGAAGTGATGTAAATACGTTCGATCAGTTTATGAGGTAAACACTAAAAGGTGTTCGATTTGATTGATTCGACTTACCATGAAAAAACATGGAAAATAAGTAAGTATTCGCAGTTATAAAAAGACCATTCAGGCATATTGATACCATCTGCAGTCCAAGGATTGCTATACATCAGGTAGGCTAGGATTTCTTTTGCTCAAATTATTATCATAATTATTTTTATTGTCAGGCTTTATCTCAGAACCAGCTAAATTGGCTTTTCCATTTCACAATGGAAAAGTGTAAAAAATATCCGATGAAATATATGATATTTGCTGACTTTATATTGATTTTCTGTTCCCCATATCAATTTCATCTTGACAGTCTATTATGTTACTGCCAGTGTTTTGCACTTCAGCTGACAAATTAGTCAGCCTCAGAGCTGTAATTTTTTTCTGTTTATCATTCAACTGAAAATTCAACTGCTCTTTACTCTTTAATTGACATTTTTTTACCATTAAAAATTCAACTCTACACTAATTTGATATAAACAAACGCTGTCACTACTATGTAAGTGCTTGAAGTTGAATTGCAACCTCTATTCAATAAATTCTCTAATAATTATGATCTGTGTAAATTAGCCATTACACTACAGGCCAAAAGTTTGGAAGCAAGGCCATTACAGGCCGTACAGTTAGGAGTAACTTCAAGTTTTTGTTCACAATGCTTTTTGAGAATGAGTTTTATGTATTTTGGGATGTATTTACTCCATGATCAGATGTTGCTTTCATGGAAATGCGCCATTTTACTCCATTTACCTTTAGATATACATTGATGTTAACACACCATTGCTAAATATATGTCAACAAAAGATGATAAGGGCGGCAGTAGCTCAGGAGGTAGAGCGGTCGTCCAATAACCGGAAGGTTGGTGGTTCGATTCCCCCCTAATCCAAGTCTGTCCGTTGTGTCCTTGGGCAAGACACTTAACCCACCTTGCTCCCAGTGTGTGTGTCCTCCACTGGTGTATGACTGTGAGTGTTGTGTGGTGGTGGTCGGAGAGGCCGTAGGCGCAGAATGGCAGCCACGTCTCCACCACCACCAAAGTGTGACTGTGTGAGCGAATGAATGATGTATCCAATGTAAAGCGCTTTGAGGGTCTCTGATAAAGCGCTATATGAAATCTGATGCATTATTATTATTACTAGTTTTAGGGTTGAAAACATTTGCAAGAGTCACAACTTCAGTGCAAATGCAAAAAAACAAATCACAGTTGGATAATTCACTTCAACTTTTTGGCTTTTGAGAGTCTGCATACAAAAATCCTAATAAATCTCAACTGCGTTCAAACTACCGCAAAAATGGCTAGAAAGAAGCAACTAAGTAAAGAAACAAAAGTACAGATTTGTACATTGAGGAAAGAAGGATACACAGAAAGAGAAATTGCAAAACGCCTAAGGGTGTTTAACAAAGGTGTCCACTACACTCTGAAGAGACTAGAGGAACCTGGAAGTTATGATGATAGAAAAAGGCCTGGACGAAAGAGAGTTACTACAAAAGCAGAGCATAAACATAGCATTGTCACCAGAAAGAGATCAGTGAAAGACAGCACCACAAAAAAGGGAGGAAATCAACATGACAAGGTTGAAACTCATAAATCTCTAACAACTGTGAAATGACGTTTGAGAAAGGCTGGTCTGAAGGGTTGTGTATCTGCAAAAAAACACTACTTCGTCCACAGAACAAGAAAAAGAGATATGAGTGGGCAAAAGCTCACAAAAATTGGACTCATGATGACTAGAAACAAGTTTGCACTGTTTGGTTCAAAACACAGAGTCTATGTCTGCAGACAAACTGGTAAACGTCTGAAAGCACCATGTGTTACACCCACGATTCAGCATGGAGGTGGTAGTTCCATGGTATGGGGATGTTTTGCTGGTGATAGAGTAGAAGATTTGTTTGATGTAAAGGGTATCATGAAGAAGGAACAGTACCACTCCATCCTCCAGCACCATGCTGCTCCATCTGGACTAAGACTTATGGCTCATAAGTTTATTTTGCAGCAAGACAATGACCCGAAGCACTCTGCCAAGCTCTGTCAGGGTTACCTAGACAAAAAAGAAGAGGAAGGTGTTCTTCAAAAGATGGTTTGGCCCCCTCAGTCTCCAGACCTTTCTCCAATTGAGCTTGTGCGGGATGAATTAGATCTATCGGTCAGAAAAACGCAACCCAGGAATCAGCAGTCTCCTTTTAATGAACTTAAGAAAGCTTGGAATGCAATCCCTGGAACATACCTTAAAAAACTTGTGGAACGAATGCCTGGTATATGCCAAGCTGTTGTTAAAGCCAGAGGATTTTACTTTAAAGAAAGCAAAGTCTAAGCAACAATAACTCAAATACCTAATAATTATAGTCAAAATGTCTTCTGATAAGTTACTCTTTACACAATAGTCATGTTTATTGTGTTGCAAATTATATATATGAAACTATGATTTTTTTTGTACAAATCTGATCTTGCTTCCAAACTTTTGGCTTGTAGTGTATATTTTTTTAAGTACAGTGTGAATAAATGAGAATATATAGTCATTTCTAACATTTAGGTCTTAGATTAAAATGCTCCCTTGCTCACCCCTTCTCCTGGTAAAATTCGACAGGCCTTCACTAATAAGAATGATTCATGTTAAAATCCTACATTAACCGGTTTCTGACCACCAAAAGCCTTCATAAATGTAGATCCCTTTGAGCACAACAACAATCAGTACATCTTTTAACTGGTGCATTTCTGGCAGCCATCCATTCAACACTAGTTTGTTCACTTCATTACTCTAAAAACATGGTGGTGGCATTTTGATATGTTATATAACTCCTGTGGAGATAGAAAGGCTCACTGCAAGTTAACAGAAACAAAAGATTTCCATACTCTGGTGTCTAAACACTAACTTAAAACATATTTAAGAATGATCTCTTTCTAGTAATTATTTTCTGCTCATTGCCACAAAACACTGCACTGTACCTTTTATACTTGAGCAATTATGTGTTAGTTTTAAGATGAAAAAATATTCTTCTCTAGTTAATTCATTAAATTAATGTATGCAATTGTGTTAAGATATAACTTTGTTGCCCTTATTGGAGTATTTTTGTACAGTAATGAATTAATAAGAAAATTTGTTTTAGTGTAGTAGTTTATGTGGTACCATAACTAACAATAACTAACTAATGTTTTAGAGTAAAAAAAAAATAAGAGGGCAAAGAAGGAACTAAAAAGAGAGAGGGACAATTTATTCATACAATGAGGAGTGTCTAGAGAAAAAAAAGCTTAACCATTTAACACAGGAAATTTTGGTCCAAAGTAAAAGAAAAGATGATGCCTCAGATAGTGACTGACTAGTCCTGACTGTGTGGTTTTGAATTATTGTGGGGTGTGTATCAAGTGTCCTGTGAGCACCAACTTCAACTTGACTGAAGTATTTCAAACGTATATGAAAATATTTCTTCTGCTGCTCCACATAAGAAGCTTTGTGACCTTTTTATAGACAGCAGAGCACTGTCACTTTGACTGTATTGATGGAGAGAAATAATGGCCAGTGACATATGGTTTGAAGCTCTGGAGGTTTCTGTAGGTCTGCAGGGTGCATCACTGTGGGGTCACCAGCTGAGCACCTCCAACTGAATCGCCTCAAGGCCAGAAGGAGATAAGATAGGAGAGTGAAAGTCCAAAAATAAAGATAGAAAATGAGTGTCCTGGTCACTCGGCCCATTGTCACAAAAATATCCTTTAGGCATGCAGAAAGAAAACATTAGCAAAGACTTGGCTTAATAAAGCAGAAGTACTGAAAACTGGACATGCATTTCAAGAGGTGTTGCTGCCTGTATGGTTTCATCAAGAATTTCCCAAAAAATTAGGAAAAACAATCAAACTCACTCTTTTCACTTGAAGGGTGCATATGTGCCGCCAATCCTTTTTATGTGCACTAGATGGTGCTATTGTCTTTATAATGATTATAGCTGCATTTAAATCAAATGTTACTCAACTCAACATCAGTGTGACAAGCAATCAGAACAAATGAAATCAACTAGTACATGACAGTTTTGTTGATTAAAAAACATACTGCCTCCTGTGTACTGTGGTATAATATGGTTACATTTAGGCGTCATTAAAGCTTCATGTGTCATTAAAGTTTCAGTCGCTGGAGGTGATCTGTTCATATAATAACTCGGCTGCAGCAGAGGAAAGAAACACTGTCAACACAATAAGAAAGTAATGAGTACAATTGGTTTGGAACACGGTTGTCACAGATCAGTGCAGCAAATTAGCATGAGGTTATCAAAATAATTGAATCAGTAAAACCTTGTGAGCAGATTTTGAATGTAATAAGAATAGACCATGGTGCTCATCACAAACTAGTAACACTTGTTGTATCTTTTAAACCCTTTTTCTGGTGATGATTCCTGACTCTGGAAAGGCAGGCTTCATACACCTGACTTTTATGTCACAAAAGCCCAAGGTTGTCATTGAAAATGAAGATGCATGGAGCTAACAGGCTCACTTCCTGCAGCCACCGTGCCTTCATGGATTCCCTTTTTTTTCCTTATTATGCATGCTATAGGTTCCTAGATTTGTGAATAGCAGCAAATGTAAACAAGCAGAGCACTCTGATTGTGTTTGTGAATGATTTCATATTATTTGATCACAGAGGCAAAGACGCTGAAAAGACAGATCAGGATAATCCTATTTGCTTGGAGATATGCGAAGGTAAATGAAAGTGTCAAGACAGCATTATTATGAATGGTTGAGGGAACCAGGGAGAAAGTATTTTTGTGCCATATTGCCATAGCTTAGATATCACAGGAATATTTAGGCATTTCTTTAATCTGCCAATACACTACAACACAAGCATGTGAATGCATTACATGAAATCAGCAGCTTATATGTATGAAGCAATTGTTCCATATTTTCTGCTTATCTTAAACATGTATATCAATGTATACAAA